GTCCATTGACAGTCGGAAGGTCCATTGACAGTCGGAAGGTCCATTGACAGTCGGAAGGTCCATGGACAGTCGGAAGGTCCATGGACAGTCGGAAGGTCCATGGACAGTCGGAAGTTCCATTGACAGTCGGAAGGTCCATGGACAGTCGGAAACTCCACATCGGCCGGAGTAACTTAAAATTATGCGTCAGCATAATTTGAAGCTCCCCATGTGGAGCTTCAGCATCTGCAATTTTTATTTTAAATCGACTCAAATCGTTTGATCTTAACTTGGATTGCATTATAGAGGTGTTGCCAAAGTTATATTTCTAATTAATTAATTAAGTATTAGTCAGTGGAAAAAGGAATATTCATTTGAATCTAGTTTGTTCTTTTTTATCAGATTTTATCCAAAGTATTTTTTTATGTTGATTCTAAAACATGTCGTGGGGAAGTCATTTAAAGAAAGATCAAAAAACTTCACGAAATTGTTTAATGACAGTAAGACATGTTAGTGCCAATATTTCAACTGTTTCTGCGATTACAATATTGTGTTAATTTTTTCAGCCTCAATGACTGATTTAGCTTTGATTTATGGTATTTTCTAAATCATATCTAATTGTTAAAAAAAATTAAGATACTTACTTCTTAATATTTTTAATTAATGTGATATTCACTATATATATCTATCTAGATATTAGAACCTTCTAAAAACAAAATTTTTAAACTTTGAATTTTTAACGCGAGATCACTTCAGGATCAATTAAGGATCAACGTCAATAACGTCACAAAATCCTACCTAGTTCAATGAATTTGTATAAAAAATGTAAACAAATCGAATTCATATTGAAAAACTTTGCTCATCATTGTATTGCTAGAATTTAAACTTCAGAAGTTTATACGCTTTAAAATTTGAAAAATTCAAAAACCAAAAAAGTTGCGCGGTTTTCAGGTGCAGATGTTGATGTTTTCCTATGGCTAAATAGCTAAATAGCTCTGATTTATGGTATTTTCTAAATCATAATTGTTAAAAAAAATTAAGATACTTACTTCTTAATATTTTTAATTAATGTGATATTCACTATATATATATCTAGATATTAGAACCTTCTTAAAATAAATTTTTTAAACTTTGAACTTTTAACGCGAGATCACTTGAGGATCAATTAAGGATCAACGTCAATAACGTCTCAAAATCCTACCTAGTTCAATGAATTTGTTCAAAAAATGTAAACAAATCGAATTCACATTGAAAAACTTTGCTCATCATTGTATTGCTAGAATTTAAAATTTAAAAGTTTATACACTTTAAAATTTGTTGAGTATAGAAAAATATCAATATCAGGAACGAAAGGATATCTCAATATTCATATGCGTCAACTCAAAATGTTTCATTCTTTTCTGTACGAAAATGTTATAGCCCCGAGATAATTTTGAAACAAAATAAAATAATCTTCAAATTCAATGTTTTTAGTTTTTCATCTCAAGTAATTAATTCATTCATTTAGAAATAACAGAAAAAGTAGAAAATCATTTTTTTATTTCATTAAGATAAGATTTAGGATAAGAAAAAACATTATTCACGTTGTGTTTAAACAGAAAGAGAGAAAAGCTGTTGAAAATTGATAAAGTTTGAAGCTTTTAAAAAGTTTCTACTTTTTTTTTGGCTCAGTTTGAAGGCAACTGTGTAGTGAATAAGACGTAAAAAAATCGTTTTTATCGGTAAAAAAAAGGGGAAATAAATAGATAAGATAACGATTGTTTTGATGTAACAAGTTTCAAATAGTTTTATGTTTTATTTCACCTCGAAGAAATTTTATTGATTCAAGAATATGGCTAATGGAATCATGATTAAATTTCTTTTTATGTTGATGATGCTTTCATCATGTGGTATGATGAAATCAAATAAAATTAAATAAAGTAGATAAACGAAGAGAATAAAATTTTATTGTCAATTTTAGTGCCACAGAAATTGCGAATTCCTGAAAATTTAGTTTTCTGTTATAGAGAAAATTTTACTGATTATTGGTATCCACAATCGTTACCATTACTTATTGACATCATAAGAAAAATCGAAGCTTCACGTCCTACAAGCATTGATCTAAGACATTTAAGCGCCAGATTATTTCATGAGTAAGTGAATGGCAAAGCACTTTCATAAAAATATGCAATATAAAATAAATTTATTTATGGATAATTGTACATTTTACAGTCTTCGTGTTGATGGCATTCAGCGTGTACCATTCACAGAAACAGAAGATGTTACACCCTTCGTAAGAAATAGCGTGATGAGTCATAAAAACATTGTTTTACAACAAGTGATATCAGATGTTCCGGGTGATATCGATTACGAAAGCATTTTAACTCCAGCTGAGCTGTGTACTTTGCATAAGTTGTTGAGTTGCTCAGTAGAACCACTCGAACGTCAAGATGAACTACTGCATTGTCCACAAGAAATTTTAAACACAACTTCTTTAAATCGCAATCACAGGAAAATAAACATTCGACCACGAGATCCTTCAGTTCATCATAGACAACCGCATAGTAATTTTACTGTCTCATCACCAAACTTTTCTCGTTGTCCCATTGAAATGGGTGTGGTATTTGATTCATATGGCTTTGCTATACATCCAGGCATTATTGTTGCAAATATTGCATCTGGATTGCAACCACAACAAGTCAAAATTGGAGAATTCATATCAGAGTACAAATTAAAGGATCCCTATGAGAATTTAGAGACTATGGAACCAACAGACACAAAGAAAAAAATTGCAAAATTAATAACATCATTGAGTTCTGTTGATAACACTTATGCTTCAGGTTTAGTTGGTGACATGGCTGAAGTTGTTTTGTTTCAAGGGCCATCTGGAAATTTTACAGTTGGCTTTGAAGGAATGTGGAATGATACAAACTTTCCAAGGATGCGTCTTTTACGGGGAAACCAGAATGGCAACTGGCATTTGACTGACGCTGAAATTTTTAGCGGAATCGATGGAATTTTCATGTCGCAACAGGTTTCATCATGGATATCAAGAATTCGACGACTCCGACTGTCCCAGATCATAGAAATGTTCTATTTACACCAAGGAATTTCTATTCCAGCAGTTGAAACAAATGTAAAGAAAACCTTCAAAGGACGAACCCAACATAAGAAGCCAACCGATGATGAAAACAATGAGCACGATTTCGCAGTCTCATTTGATTCAAGAAAAATATTTAAAAAATCTTTTCATTATACGCAAAACAATAATGAAATGCTGGATGTTGATATAAAATATCTTTCAAGATTCTCAATAGCTGAAGATGTTTCAAGTGTTTGTCATAGAAAAAAGATTGTTGAAATGGTGAATTGATTTTTTGAGTTACAAATGATTGTATAAATATTTTATTTATTATTTATTTCCGCTTCAAGATTGATGTGGAAAATTTAAAGGAGGAAACTTATAACTTCATTCAAATTCTGGAATTTGTGACAAGCAATGCAATCATGTCATCAGAGCGCTTGAAATTGATTTCCGATCAAGTTGTTGAGCAAACAATGGAAAGGGCAAGACAACTTGTAGAGTCTACACCGCAATGCAAAAATTTTCCATTAGATCACAAAAGAATTGCTGTTGATCTAACAGTCATCATTGATGGATCGAGAAATGCTTATGAAAATCTTCAATTTATTCATTCCATTTCCGAGATGATTGACTTGTCAACCTTTGGATCATATATTTCAGTGATTCATGGTGAATCAGGAACTTTCCTCGTTAACCGAACAAATAGCGTGTCAAGTTTATTTGATCAACTAAAGAATTCAACAAACTTGAGAAGTATGTTGTTTACAGACAAACTTCAAGATGATAAATTTAATTTGAACAAATTTCCAATCAAATAATCTTTTTCTAGATCCAATTCATTTATCGCTTTCAAAATCATTGCGCTCTCTTATGTTTCAACTAGTGAACAAAACAAATTTTGAAAAGGAAACAGGAGTTTATGGTGCTTTGCCAAAAGTTTGTCTTGTCGTTTCACAATCGCATCGTATCAGTGAAGTTGATTATACATCAGCACAACGCATCCTGACGGGAACAATGAAACAATTTCCCGATTTATATTTTGTATTTCTATCAAATGACATTGATACATTCAAAGATATGGTAGAGGATGTAAGAATTCAACCAGAAAATGCCAATGTAAGACGTTTTACTTAGATTTTTCAAATTCACACAGAAATGTCTTGTAATTACCGTTGTATTGTTTTTCAGGCTATTGAAACCATGGAACGATATAATTTTGTGTCTGCAAGTTCTATTCAAATCTCGACATTCAAAAACTCTCTAGACACAGCATTGAGAAGCATTCCTAAAAGAATTACATCGCCATTCTGTGAAAGTCAAGAGAAACGTACGTGGGATGATATCACTAATCGTAATGACTTCGAATTATATTTGACGCCAAATGAAGAAATTCGTTATCGTCTCAGTTCTCTTTTTATGCTTGGAGCAGAGAATATTAATATCAACTTTCAAGGTACCGGATATGGTGATTTTACCGTTTGCATGGCCAGAAGCCATGACATGCTATCACAGGAATGCAAAACGGTTCGTGATATAGAAAATGCGTGGTTCAACACAAGCCAACCTTGTTTAAAACGAAATGCTGACAATTGTCCAAGTATGTACTTTAGTATCCAAGTTGATACAACGTACTTGAAATGTTCTGAGGCAGATTGTCGATTTCCTTATAACTTGCGAATAATTGTGAAACCGGAAGGTCTGCGATGTGAAAGAGCTGGTTCGGAAAATGTTACTGCTAAATTGAGTTTATTAATTTTGTCCCTTTCTATTATGTCATTCATTTGAAACTAATTTAATTTATGTAAATACTTTTTTTTTATCGGAAATCAATTTCTTTTAACCTCGCCATTCTCTCTTTCGTTGTTAACCCTTCTTTAAATTAAGTTTCACAGAATATATTTATCGTTGTTGAAAAAAATATGGCAGAAAGAAAGAAATAAATAAATCTAGGGAGGATAAACTTTTCGGTCGCCAATCTCCAATTCAAATCAACATCAATTGACTTAGAAGTTTGTATTATCATAAGCTTACGAAGCCAAATTTCAGGGAAATTTGTTTAGTTCTTGAGAAAATCATTTTCGAGATTTTCCGGGAGGCAAAATCTCTAAATAATGACAAACTTTGTTCTTACCCAATAAAAATCAATCGTGTCGCAATAAATGTACAAGCCTATTTATTATAATGTTCTATGCTTTTTAGAATTGCGAATGACATAATAAAATAGATAGATAAAGTCAATGTCTTAAAGGCTTGTACCGAATGAAGTGCTTCACCAGCAAATATGTGACTGTCATCTACGTGACAAAATGCTTTTTTCCAGAAGCGACTCAGCTGATACCAGACATCCATTAATGCTTTTGTTTGCATCACCACTACTGTTAAAGTTTGTCTGAGTAAATTTCCTTTTTTGGACGTGATATCTAGCATGCTTTACAAAAATTATCCTAAAATATGGAAAGCAATCATTTGCTGTTTCGATTTAACATAAATAAATGAATAGTCACAGGAGAAAGGATAGGAAAATTAATTGCTCGTTGTTTTGAAAGTTCAAGCATTAGGAAAACATTAAAATATCTAAATGAAATAGTCAGACATGTTAATGAGTCATTAAAATATTTTTAACACGATTGTTTATCTACAATAAGAACCTATTAAAGTGACCATGAATAAAGAAAACTACCAAAAATCGATCGTGAAAGAGGATTCTCATACTGTGTTAATTTCGTCACCTTCTTTCTAATCACCAACCTACTCTCAAATAAATTTTCTATATTTAAATTGTTAAGTAATTTTCTTACATGATTTATTTCCTTTGTTCTTTAAATGTGTTTATATAAGAAATAGTTGTATATAAAATAAATTCATGTTGATATTTCAAATTATTTCCACACAGGTAGTACCTACATATTTAATTTTTCTGTGTTTCCTAAGTAGGTGATTAACTCTCATATATCTTCTTAATTAAAAGTGAATGACTAATTTTGGACATAATGAGACATTGTGTGTTTGAACACTGTAATTTTGAAAAGATCAACAAAATAGCACAAGTACCATTTCAATTCAACAGCCTGATGTCACAAAAATAATGTTGAAAATTGATGATGCTTTCAGTTTAAAACAAAATTGAAAGCTCCGTCAAAATTGATTCTTACTGTATGGGATATAAGCCTGATAAGGATCTATCAAAATGTACTTATTCTAAATAAAAATACATAAAACACTTTTCAATCTCTTCATTATTCTGAACATTACTACTCTTAAAAGTTTCACAGGCTCTACATAGGTAAAGGATTCTTATTTCTTTTATTTCTTAGCAAGTATGGGACAGGATTGAGATTCGTTGAATCTAAAGCAACGTCGTAAATAATAATTAGGTAACTTTTAAAAACATTCGATTTCATTTTTTCAAATGTTTTCTGATTTTCGTTTTTTTTATTTCATAACAAAAATGGAAGTACCTAAAACAATAAAATCATAATGTAAAACCATTAGTAACGTATTACGAAACTCATCAAAATTTTGAGCAAAAGAAATATTCCAATTTAATAAAAATTATTTACATTTATAATAGGAACCCTCTGAAAAGAAATATCCAAAAATTACTTTAAAGAAATGAATGAAAAAGAGTTAGAAAGTTCTTGTGACCCAACAAACAAACGTGACTGTTTACCGCGTTTTACGAATTTAATTATCAGCGTCACGGCATTTTCTCCGTTTTCAAATGACTTTTCCTGTCCTAAAGTGATTTATCGTTTCGCTGGTTGGTCACTGAGTTCTCTTCAGTTTTTCATTTTCCATCGAATTCTGAACGTTTTGTATTTGAAATCGTAACGTTAATTGAATCTTTTGACTCGTAGCGATGAAGAAAAGGTCTTCTAAAAATAAATAAATGAAAAAAGTTTTGGAATTAACATACTACTAAGATCTGCTTTTGATCTTATGGAAGAGTTTAAATATCACAAATGGGCAAATTCCGATTTGCAACTGGAAAATCTATAGACAAAATTTTAACAAAGTCCTTTATGAGTGAGAGAACATGAGCTTTTTTGTGTCTCATCATCCATGAAATTTAATTTGTTTAAGCTTTTAAGGTAAAAATTGCCTTGAAGCGTTAATTCAATTCAAAAATTAACGCGAAGCAGAGATTAAAGACAAAGTTTCACTGCGAGTTAATTAATAATTTCATTTAAAATTCTCAAATTTACAAGTATAAATTGGTTTCTTTTTTTTGCTATAAAATCGTTCATTTAGCGATTGGAATGTGGAAAGAATCATGCGCGTTTTTAGAAAATTTCAACAGCTTCATAACTTTCTCAGTCTTAGCAAAGCTATCAACGGATGAAACAGGTATACGATTTTATGCTTCTTATAGTACATCGATTTTTCTTCAAATATATAGACACGAATAATCAATTTATCATTTGGAGTCAATACGTCCAACAGAAACTGCGGGCGCAAAGAATGTAATGAATTTTGGAAATTAAAGTTAGAATTCTGCTTACATAGAAAAACATTTTTAAAAAACGCTTTGAATTTTCCTTGGGCTTTTCTTCGTTCGCCCCTTAGTTATGTTGCCTGTTTACAGCTTGGGAATCTGGATTTTTATTTGAATTAATTCAAAAAGTTTTTCGTGAGATAAGTATATAGCTTACTAACATCTTCAGGCAAACCCGTTTATTTTTTATTTATAAGAAACAAGTTTGCTTCGTCTTTCCCTGTTTCCTTTTCACTCTCATGTTTTTAATACTTTTGTGGTTTTGGTTATAATTTCTAAAGCAGATATCTGTCAAATTACATTTCAATTCATAAACGTGTTAAAATTATCTTTGTTATTGTCGAAATGTCTGTTTTGAGTTGAAAACTTTTCATATTAAGATAACGTTGGTGGTATTCTTGTTCAGTTCGACGTCGACAATTCAATTTGAGAGTCACGATAGCTGCTACTTATTTTGAATAGATATTTGTTTGAGAGTTTACTGTTGCTGTTTTAGAATAAATATCATTTGCGTACAGAAGAGCATGGGTTTGGTTAGTTAACATAATCTTATTTTTTTTTACAATTTAAATACAAAGATAATGTTCTTGCGTTACGAAAGCTGATATCTATGTTGAATAGATTTGTAAGCTTTTAAAGGATCATTATAAAGGCATATATTTCTATTCCTTTCAAGAATACGCCACATCGTTTGGAAAAGCCGATTGTAAGTATTTTTTTTCGTGATTTTACATTGTACGGTTACTTTCCTTACAAATTGGACAAAAAATTTTTCGAGTGATTATTACATGCTTGAATGAAAATGACAGGAACTTTTGCTTAGTTCATAAAAATTTTATTTCTCCTTTCGAATAAGTATCAATTTAAGACGATAAAGCTTTTTTCAAGAAAAAAAGATCGTTTAAGAAAAGCTTTTAAACATTTTTTTTGTATTTTATTAACAAGATATCCGGATAAGGAATATTAGATATTTGACAAAGTCCAGTCTCCAATGATGAAGTGCCTATGACTCTTCTTGTAAGTCATTTTTAAACCTAATGTATCTAAATATATCTACAGATTTTTTGAGGGGAAACCTTTGTGGAAACAAGTTTTCCTTTTAAGAGGTCGTCCCAAGAAATCAGGATGTCCGAACCCTTCATTTTCATTCTTTCCTTTATATATTCTCAGAATTGAAGATTCGAAATTGAAACTTTTTTTCCTGTTTATCAAGATGATTTTATTACTTAAATTTCTTTTATTTTGGAAAAGGTTTCTTTTATTATTATTAAGTGATCATTTCGGTAAAAGGACAAAAAGTTCAAAAATTTCTTTGATTTTCAGAATTTAATTCATGGATCGTTGAAAATTAATGACAACTCCCACGAGACGAAAAGAATTTAATATTTTATGTGATTTGGTTTAGCAATTTCAAAAGCAGAAATCAAATAACTTGTGATTTGTTGACCTTGACCTCTATGAAAGCTTTGAAACGTAAAAATATGATATTGTTTGGATTCTTCTCCTGGATTCTTCTCTATATCCGTCAAATTGTGAGTAAGCTATTCAATCGGGGAGCGAATAAAAACTCAATCAATCATTATGCTTGGCGCGTGCAATATAAAATTAAAATATAGAATTTGTATGAAGAAAAAAAATCAGCGGAATAAATTCTACTCGAAATTTTACATTTACATACATTGTTATATGAGATTATAGAATCGTCTGTTGAATTTGTTTCGAAATAGTAAATACCAAAGCACTTCTTTGTCAATCACATTTACCAACATAGATCACAAAAGCTTTAAACTAAAATGGAATTTGAATCAGAACATTTACGAAGATAAATTATGAGTACAATAAAAGAAGTAGAGTATGAGAGTCAGTTGATTTGTCCACCTGACAAGACAAAAAAAATGTTTCATTCAACATCTCAAAATAGTAAAAACAGGTCTCAAATCCCTTCCAAATTTTTATCCTTCCTTTTTATTCCTTTGAAATTTCTTGTTCTTTTCTTTGTAAAGTTATATCATCTGAAAATTCATGAACCATTAGTATCGTCTACACAATTGAATGAAAAAAGAAGAGATTTTCATGAATAAAAGGTTTAGAGGGTCTTCTTATGAAGACATAACACATTAATGAAAGATTTCCTTTAATGTATCGTTTCTATCATGCTTGATATGAGAATGAGCTAAACTTCCATTTCAATTAGTGTAGTTTGTTTCCATTTACAATCCCCCATGATTATACAGATCTGTAATATATAGACAGATAGAAAGTATCTGCAAATACTGTTAGGAAAATCTATTTCTTTCTCCGTTTCTTCATTTCTTTCTTTAAATTTACATGAGTTATACAGTATGGCTATAGATGAAAATTTAAAGCAATTACCAAATATGTATGTGGAGCAACGATGTTAAGGTTGAGTCAGTAGAAAAATCCAAGTGAACGCAAATTTGCTCGTGCTAAAAATATTTTTCTGTCGTGTTTGAAATATACATGCAGAACATAGTATAATATTTTTCTGGCAATTGTCCAAATGATACTGCGAAAAGAACTTCATATTCATCCGAGGAGAAAGTGGAACTAAAATATTGCTTAGTCTTTTTATAACAGAGGCATGTTTGTAAGATAATAAGAATTATTACATAGACCGAATGCGAGATAAACTTGACCTGATTTTTTTTTTGGATCGTTGGGATGTGATAGATCTTTCCTTAATACTCTGTTTCTATTCAGTGTTATTTCCTGAATATATTGAAACTTTTGAAAAAAAAATATTTATTGAAAAACAATTGCTTAACTTTGAAGTGAATGATCAGCAAAATCAGTTGGAGTTTTTATGGAAGATTGAGTAAAAGATCTTAGAAATAAGATAAATAGTTGTTTCCTATGATAGCAGACGAAAGAATACGAAGATATTTAAATAGTTATTTCTAATAAATTAATAATGGTTTTAGAAGTCAACAATCATTTTCAATTATGCATATATAAAAAATTAAATATGACTTTGGATTTAAGTAAAGTTCTTTATTAAGGAGAAGATAAACTGAGAAGATTGAGATGTTATTTTTTGTTATATCATTTTTTGTTGTCGTTGTTGTTAAATTTTAACATTTGTTGTTTTAAAACTGACAAATATATATATTATATACGAAAAGATTCTAAATGATTCATGTTCATGTCAGACTTTCGTTTCTTGATTAAAAAAACGAATGATAAGAATTTTATTTTAAGCACACAACCTCACAATGAATGTAAAATACTCGAATATGTAGTAGTGAGAATAATGTTAAGAAGAAATAAATTAGTTTTGGTTTTATTAATATTTCTAATAATTTATTCAATTTCTCAGCATCATCGTGACAAACCTCGATGTGGGTGGTATGAATTAAATTTCAATTTTGCAAACAAAATATCTTTGTCCCCACAAATTCAACCGCGCTGTCGTTTTTGTCCTAAAAGTGGTTTTATGGAAATTCTTCATCAAAACAATTCTTCTTTAGAATATTTAAATTGTTACGCTTAAAGCTTCATTCAATGGTCTTGACTGAAATCTAATTGATTCTTTCTATGTCATTCTTTGTTATGTTAATACTGTTTTGCCCTCCTCTTTTTTTCGCTTAACTTAAAATTGACATGCAAATGAGCTAACTTATTTATTCTTTTTCTTCCATTCCTGGTATTATTTTTATGACATGAGATGGAAACGATAAAACTTATTTCCGACAATTTCGGAACCACCTAGATACTATTTAGCGATGAAATCTGAGTTAGAATATTAATTAATAAATGGAAGAAAGGAAACTGAGTTAATGACCGAGCATTTAATATAAAAACCACCAGATTGATTGAGATTAAGAAATAATCTTTTCTTCCTGCTGTATTAAAGTGTGAAAGTTTGCAGACAATGTTGATTTAAAGAAAAAAAAGGAATAACTTTTAAGATTCATTAGAATTTTAAACTTTTTCTTCAGCAGCTCTTAATTTTGTTACTATGCATAGTTTTTTCAAGCGACTGAAATACTGATATAATTTATGTCACTTGAAAGGTTTGATCATGACGGTTTAATAGAATTACACAGTGCTGTTTATATAGAAAAAAAACCCTGGTAGATATCTATCGATTTTTCCAAAGGGTAAACTTCGACTGATGATCTTTTTGCAGCTTAAAATACTTAGACAGTTTTTATTGCTAAGTATTCATCAGTTCCTGCAGTATTTTTTTCTACTCCTTGCTTGTGATTTTAGTTTTTCGCATTAAAATTTCCCACTTCCTAATTTATCAGACAACTATTCATCGTATGCTTTTCTCTTTATGTAAGAATATAAATTAGTCAATTTAAAGATTCTTCATTTTTTTCTGGATTTATGAAGAGTAAAGAAGAACTTATTTGATCATCGCCATATGTGCAAGATATTTAACTATTTAGTGTTTTAAAAAAATTAAATTTGACTGGACATTAAAAAAAACATAATTAATAAGTTGTTACCAAATTTTCATATTATGTACATAAATAATAAAATGATTCTGATTGAAGAACAAAATTCCAACTTACTTAACAGGTGTTGAAAAGTCGATTAAAACGTCAATCCCTTCGACAATGCTAGCAGTAATTAAACAACTGATTTATTTAATTATACAGAAGTTTCATTATCAATAAGATGAAGTGAAAGTTTCAAAACTCGTTACAACCGTTTCATTGTTTCTATTCGTTACCATGAAAAAAGCTCTAAATTTATAAATTGCTTATGTTGGTAGACTTCACCCGGATTGAGAATGATTGATGGCAACTTGGATGGGAAGTTTGCCTTTAAAAACATCAGAGAAACAAAAAAAAAAAGAATAACAACATTTTGCTTTCGAAAGGATTTTCTGTTGTTTTGTCTCTGAAAAATTAAGAACCTAAAGTGTTTAGCCATTCTTCGTCTTGATAGTATTGCGCTTTTATGGAAAGTCTTATTCCCCAACCAAAAACCAACATCTATGCGAAAATCAAAAGCTCTTTCATGGAAATTTGGTTTGATGAAATCTTTTAAGTCTCATCATAATTGACAGTCATTTTGTATCCTCACAACTCTTTACATCCTACATATGTTTTGACAGACGGTGTATATAAAAGAAACGACGGTTCGACACATTGATAATAATGGTTTTATGGGTAAAGAGAGATACATTTATAAGAAATGTGGTATCTACAAACAATCAATATTCTGTAGTTTAAAAAACTGTTCTCAGATAACCCTTGAACTCACTCGACGAGACATGTGTTCAACACTTGTTCCATCAACATAATAATCCAAACTTTTTAAAAATAAATAATTCTACCATGTTGCAAGTTGCAAGTTGTTTTCCTTATGCAAAAATAAAATAAAATAAAATAAAATATCTATGTATGAATCAAATACAAAACTCACGATTTCTTTTACGACACGAGCGGAATTAAAGTCAGTGAGATTTCCCAATTCACAATATTTCTTCATCAATCGAATTGAAAAGAGGCAGAGAAATAATAAATTTCCACGCCAATACTTGAAAATTTCGTTCCTTTGTAGAAGCGGTTTTTGGTTTATTTTTTCGATGAAACAAAAAAGAAGCAAATTGCAATGAATCATCCTGAATGAAAGAGAAAAAGCGAGAACTGGAATATTGATTCATGAGTTTTGTTTTCAACAAAAATTCATAGAAGCTCTGAATAATAAGTCGAATCAGGAAAATACATTCCTTAACTGAACGTTAATTCTTCCAAATAGAAAGGATGTCTCTTGAGAAATCTGGAGTAGTTTCAAAAATTTGTTGCAACTTTACACAAGCAGAATATTTAAACAACCATAGTCTGAAGAGAAATCAAATAAAACATTTGATGACAGCAAAAAATATTAGGGAAAACAATCGTAAGTTACGCAAACATAGTCAGAAGTCGAGTTGTTAACCAGCAATATTTCATCACTGATTGTTATTGCCCAGAAACCTTACGAAATTTATGAACGCTACTCAACAACCCCTAAACGTTAAACTCAGCATCGTAAATACCTTCAATGCTATTAAATCTCAAAGCAACATCAGCAATTTCTCCTGCTTTCGACGTTAACTTTACCGATGTTATCGTGCTACTATAAGAAATCAACATGAACATGTAAAAGGTAAATTTAAGAGGAGAGTCCCATTAATAACTTCAATATTCATTGAAATTATATCTAATTCAAATGATTAAATTTTGCATTTTTCTAATTGAATCACATTAGATTTTTTTATGATACTATTCGACAAAAATACGAATAAAATCGAGATTGATTTATTAAACATCAAAGTGGAAAGGCAAAATCGAAATCAGAAGTTGCAGAACATATTCTTATTTCATCTTCTGAATAGTTTCAGAATATTTCCAAATAATAAGAATATAAAAAATTAAAATTTGGAGTTATTTAATGAAGTCAAAGGCCACTTTTTCAGTTTTCAAACAATTTCCAACTTTTTCTCTCAAACATGAATGTTTAATTTTGAAATTGATACTTCCACTTTTCGATGCTTGTTTTAATTTTAATACGGGTCAATGCCTTTGTAGTTTAAGGTGTTCAATGTAATGAAGTTTTTTTTTCGGCATGTGATATGAACTTAATTCACTTTGGTAAGCATCATTTTCAAAATTTATTTAACATGATTGTGAATTTCACAATTCGATTTTTATTCCTTTCTTTTCAAAACTTTTGGGTTTCTTTAGCCTTCTTCTGCATTCTCATCCATCAAAGTTTGTAGTCTTAATTGTGCTGAATCATCAAAGTGGATAATTTTGATGTTTGCAACGAATATTTTCACTAAACAACTTCTTCCTTTTGTTTTGAATAGATTTGTTTTGAAGCAATAGAAAATAATTGGATATAAATAGATATCTGTGTATAAACAATTTTCCTTTTGATTGAAGCCTCAAATTGAGTTTAAATCAGAAAGGAAAATAGCTTTGGGGATATTTCGTCAAAGAAAAGAAATTAACCTCTTCAAATTTACATAATTGACAAAAACATGATTCTGGAGTTCCTCGACCCACTTTTATTGTTTTATAAGTCAGAGCACAATATTAAGAAGAACAATTGTGGAAAATCTGTTTTTTTCCTTTATTTAGAGTACAGAACAAATATGACGTAATTTGCAATATGTACTTTGATCTAACTTTCAACTAAATTGCTTCGTAATTTTTTGTCCAAAAAACTTTTGCGAACAGAAACAAATTCTTTGGAATAAAAAAAAACTTTTTCAAGCGAGAAAATCCATTCGGCAACTTTCACTTTGCTGCTATATTTATTTCTTCTTTTCTAAGGTAATTAATTGAGTGGGGAATCCAATTAAGGTTTCCTGATTTTTCAATATTTAAGCAAAAAAACTTTCTTTCAGGCTTTCTAATTTTCATTTCAATGTTTTCATATAAATATCTAGAACTAGATAGATAGTTTATAAATATGGAATACGAAAACAAAATTGCATTAGCCTAATGTTTATTTATTGATGTTTCTATATTATCAATTTATTTTAACAACCTATATAGATAGATAACAAAGACAGGAAGAACATGAAAAGTCAATTTTGTGAACAAATTCTATAAATTGTAAGAAAGTAAGAAAAATCAATCGAACTCAAAACACCTTTAAATATGAAGTCTCTATGATGACAGAGGTTGACGTAACAGTTTATCTGAAAATAAACATTTTAATGCGCATTTATTTCATTCGATCTCCATAATAACTTTATGATGATTTGCTGGCAGTTATACGCGTGGCAAATTTTGTCTATCAAGTAGATTGTCAAATGTCTCCACTTCTTTGAGTTTTATTTACTTTTAGGCATTTGGATGTTCGTATGTAAATAAATGATCCTGCTTACCTTCCTATTCAAATTAGGATGGAAACCTGTCCTTTTCATTTTTATTTTCTTTCTTTCAAGTGTTCTTTCCATAGATTTATGATTTCATAAAAGAGCAAAAAGTCGTCCTAAATTCAAAACATGATTTTCAACCTTTATTGTGGGCGTTGAACGAAGCCTTTGGTTTCCATTAGAATTATATTCATCAATTATGTCTTTTCTGGCTGTGACGAGATGTCAAGGGACAAAAAAATAATTACAACTATTATCAACTTATAAATAAACAAAAACTTTAAATTATGTTTTCAAAAAAAAAGAAAATATACATGAATTCGACCTTCCTGGAAAACAAAACTGTTGAATCATCCATCAATTATGTTGGGCTTTTTTTGAAGGAAATTTCAGAACACCATGAAAAGTGACGAAACTTTTATAATAAAAACTTCATTTTACCAGAGAGAGAAGACATTTTTTTGCCACAAGGATTTAACTCATATTTCACAACCTGTAAACTCTCTAAACATGAAACTTTTGGCTTTTTCTTTACTTAATAGGATTAGTTAGAATTGTTTCTTACTACGTGATGTCTGCTCAACTGGCTGAATATCTCTTTTCAAACCGCTACAACTGTGCGTCCTTTCATCATTCAAGAAGTGAAAAAGTTATAAGATATAATTAGTTATTGTGTGTTCTTTTAACGACCATCATAAGAATTGCAATAAATTAAGCAATGAATTGTTAAACTCTGTAAAGTCAAACTTTGAAGTATTATCTGAATTTCTCTTGGACATTAGTCGTGCTTTCTGCGTTATAAATCCTGTTGACAAAATTTATTCTTGACGAAACTTCTTAAACCTTAAATTGTTTGTAAGCTTTCTGACAAAGAATAAAAGAGGAAAAAGCTCAATTTGGAGATGACGACTCCTAAAAACAAATACGAGTAGAAATCATAACACTGACACTGTTGACACTTATTTTTCATAAATGCTTTTTATTTCTTGACGGTAGCATAAATTGTTTTTCCTTTTTCATCTTCAGCTTGAAGCTAGGCTTAAGACAAACAGATGGATTTTCAAAATTTGACCATTCTTGACATTTTAATCCTCGCTCACAATCTTTCATAAACATTGGAAATTGTCTATAAGGATGTGGCAAAAATTTATCATTGTATTCTTTCGAATTTCACGTTTATTATAGATGCTTTTAAAAAATAAAAATTCGCTTATGACTCAAGTAAGGTTATAAATGATAAATATTCCTTCAACAGCTACAATATTTATTTTCTCTTTTATCCATGCTAAGACAATTTATTGCTTTCGGAAAACGAAAACGAGGAAAGGTCAGTTTGAATAATCTTTGAGGTTTTAAGAGTTTTCAACGACAGTGAAAACAGACGAGAGAGGAATAGGTCTTAGAATGATAGATGATGTTTTCAATGCTCGCTAGCTTTAAGAGAAAAAAAAATTGAAAGAGGAAAACACTGTTAAGAAAGTATTTATGCTAAATCTTGAAAGAGATCTTCTATATAAATTTTCCCTCTTAAGAAATGCGATATTTATTAGCTTTTATAATGAGAACAAATATTATTGTGAAAAAATATACTCACATGATAAACGTCATAGTTTGAAGTGTCGATATATCCATTCAATTGCAAAAAAAATAATATATTTTTTGATAGCTACAAACACAATGACGATAAATATCAATAGTTGGTGCATATAGCAAAACAATGAAAAATGAGAAATATCATCACTGTCACTTGCCATTCTCTATAAATTCCTATGAAAAGTTAAAGCTTTAATTTTCCGGATAATAAAACATAACATTACTCGAGATCATCTCACCAATATAAAGTACTTTCAGAAAATAATAAACTCAGAAACCTTTAAATGTATTTTAACGAAAAACATAGCGAATTTACTTATGGTAGGGATATTCCTCTTCAAAGCCCGAAATAAAGCATTTGACTTTTTAGCTGGGAAAGCGAGTTTCTTCTGACCCATTTTCAGTGAATAGGAAATAAAAAATTAAATTCAATACCTTGTATTGTCAAGTAAACAAAGAAAACGATTATCTTAAATCGCAAAATGACCTGAAATTTATGTAATCTTTTAATCCCCAAATTTACCTAGAATAAAAATGTTTCAAGAAAAGAAAAGGCAATTAAAAAGATCATGAGCTATAAACACGTGCTGTGAACTTAATGATTTTTTGCAATATTTTCACTTTATAGCGCAGATTCCCATATTTATGATTTCATCATATTTTCTTTATTCTTTTATTTTTTTGTTGTCATTTAGCTGTCAAAACGTTGCCGGAAGTAATCATGATATGCTTATATAGATCACTAGATGAAAAGAATTCTTTTTCTTATTTATACTACCGGCAAATATATGTTGTTGCATTGTAGATATTTGTGAATAATGGAAAAGCTTTTAAAGAAAATTCGGAAAAATTCTAGAACGTCATTTAAAAATCTGATTTGTCATGGATTCTTAAGGGTTTTGTTAATGACAGATAGATCATGAAATTACAAAATAAAAAAACATTAATGAAAAAGAAGATTTAGACATTTCAGAAACTTGAAAAATCCTTGTCATTAGTTGTCTTTAGCTCAACTAAGACCCATACTAAATTTCATTCATTCACCAATGTTTCGCAATTTTTAAAGATACACCAGAAATTTTTTAAAATAAAAATGAATCATTGATATATGTTTACACTCTCACAGCTGTAAAAATTTTCAGAGATTATTTTAATAACAGTAGATTTTTAAAAATCAATGCTTACACTATAAACAATAAGAATGTATTCGTGACTTGAATAAAACTTTATTGATTAGTTATTTTCATTAAGTTAAAAAGGTTTTTGAAATTTCATAAAATAAACATCTCAATAATTGTAAACTTTGTAAGTGGTTGAATGTTTAAAATTATTTAGATGAATGTATATAGATATATATAGAATGTATATAAAAAAAGTCAATGAAAACCATAAAAACGTTCGATCCTTATTATCAATAGTTTAAAACCCATTTTATATAATCTGGATAATCTAATCATAAAATATTAATTTCCTCTGTTAAAACGGAAGCAATAATGGCATATCAATTATACTTTTTTTTAGAATATCGTGTTGATTTGAAATTTTCATTCGTGTAAAGTAAAACATATTCTTGATGGATTTTTTCAAAAAGCTTTTACCCACATCAAGCTTTTAAACGTTCGTTAATTGATAATCATCCTCGTGTTATATCTGTTCACAACAATTTTCTGTAGTTGAATTTCTTTTAAAACTGTAAGCACTTATCATCATTTGAAAGAATCATCCTCACTTTACTGGTTTACAGTATCGAAAAAAAAAAATGGGAAAAACCTAGTCAACGAAGCTTTTCTCTCTTTTTATATTCACTCAATTAGTCATCAAAGCTTAGCAAAAGAAAAAACACTGAATGATAACATTTCTTTCATTCTAGAAAAATTCAATGAGCTGAACAATTTTTTTTATGGGCATGAAATGTTAGTGAACATTTTCTATCTTATTTCATAAATTTATAGGGATACGAATCAGTGTCGCCTAATACTAATTCGCGCCTTGTAAAGGTCTAAATTGAGACAAATTCTATCTTATTCAAATGAATTTGTTTCAAATCGAATTATTGACGATTCTAGAGTTATTTTTATAGCGAAAGTAAAACTCGAAACCCGTATGATATGAGCTGTAAATTTATGTAAATTATTCGGATTGAATACGATTGATGTGAATGAAGCGAATACTTCGTCTGAGCAAACTTTAAACATTTGATAAAGATTTCAGAGATTCTGCCTGAAATAATTCGTACTCAGAAGAGACCTTGACTTTACTGTTATCCAACACCCTTGTAAACTTTTGACAAACTAACCAGCAAAAAATATATTCATATTCATTATAAATAAATCATTTTTTTTTAAATTGAATAATGAATAATTTTCATCCCTTTCCTTTCAATAATATAAAATAAGTTTTTGATCCTTCCAAATAATTTTGATTGGTATGGTAATTTGTCTCGTGATATTGACACAAGATTTCCTCAATTTCTTACTTCAGAAACTTTATTGAAAATATTAATGATTTTCGTTTTTCCATTTGCTACGAGTTCAATCAATTTTCCAGTTCCATTAAATCCACTTGAAACAACACTTTGATGAGAAAAAAATTGGATGATGAAACACTATAGCTTGAATGCACAGACAGATAATCGTCAATCGAGAAAGAGACTTCTGTTGATAAGACAGATTTTACTATGGTACAATTTTGTTAAAATGAACTGTGAAAAGGCAACCAAGCATTTTTTTTTCTTTTTTTTGTTTCATTCTGTTGAGTTATTCTGTTCGTTTACTTCTACAAAAAATCACCGGCTGCTTCTTCTTCTTTCAGAGCTCAAGGAGACGAACAGTCGGATAGGATGAGAATTTTCGATTTCGTCTTACATTTGTAAAAGTAAGATACTGAATTTAACTTGAAGATTATTTCTAAAGTTTTCAATGTCGGAGAATATGAGAAAAAAACCCAGGATTTAATTCACTGTCTGTCTTTCTTTAACAAGAATTTTATTTACTACTCTTTCAAAAGAATATTATTATTTGTGCATGTCACTGCAGATTAACCTCCTGATTGCTATCATGAAAGCCACAAGACATTTGATAGATGTTGATAGTTGCAAGTGAAGCCAAGTTACTCTCAAAACGATTTCTTCATCCTAAATTGTAGTCGTATGGAAAGTTAATTTCACCAAGATGGTTATGTAATCCTTTCTAGCATCTATTTTTTCTAACTTTTACTCCTTACAGAGATGTCAATTCTATCCTTTGACGAAAAACATCCTTTGACGAAATGGAAAAAATATTGAATCGAGCATTTTTCTTGTTAATTGAACTTAAGGTTGGCCAAAAAGACTTGGCTCAACTTATGAGAGCAGTTTCGTATATTGCTTTCATGTACAATGAAGAAATGTAAGCAGAAACATTTTCTTGCCAGAGAATATGCTAATCCTAAATTTACGATAATTTCAGTTTATAAACTCACAAAAAGCAAAGTTTATGTTTATAACACCTAGAAAATATTGAATTCTCACTGAGTTAAAGTGGCCTATTTTTTCTAAATGAATGAAGGGTTTTAATAAACGAACTAGAAAATTTTCATATTTTTATTGAATAATTAAATCTTATTCAGAGATATATATTTTAGTGAAGAATATAAAAAAAAACTTATTCTTTTCACATCTTTCTCAAAAATCAGATTCAAAAACTCATTTAAAAGCATCACATATCACAACATACACAAAAAGAATGATGTGAAACCTACGAAATTTTTATTTACGTCATAAATCGAAATATTTTATTATGTTAAAAGCTCTTTGAAGTTCAAATTGCTTTTCAATAAGTTGTTTCAATTTTGGTATACATTTAGATTCTACTTACTGAACATTTTTTTTGTATATTCACCAGAAACTTTTATCGCTTCAACGCTCATGAAACCAAAAACTCTTGAAAGCTATCAACAATTCATGGGCCTTAACACTTTTAGCAAAACTTGCAAAACTTTGTAGTGTGACCAGAAGAGGGAAGCATATTTAAATAAAAAAACAAACAATTCAATTTATTTCAGAAGTTCGAAATAGATATACCTTTGATTTCCCTTTAGGCTGTTTAACTTATTCCTACATTTTTAATGGAGCACGCTCATCGCAACCTAATCTTAGTAAACTTTTACGGTTTGATAGTTTCATTTTCTGTTTTGTACAAAATTAAAAACTTTTGCTTTGGATATGTCTGAGATTTCGGAAGAACTTTGGGCTGTAGTCAATAAAGGAACTGGTGAACATTGCTTCCTCCGGAAGAATTACAAGATTGCAAATGAATATTTTCAAGCCTCATTGATTTTGCAACCGGGAAAATTGGATTCAGTTTACCTTTTAACTAATTCTCAAGCACATGAAGCAGATCTCGATAAGGCTTCGAAGGTTTTAAATGAGAATATAAAATCAAGTGAGTTAACCGCATACGTATTTTAAATAAAATTTTGGAATTTTATAATTCAAATTCTCTCTCATTGCTAGATGACTTTAAGAATCATTTCAAGTGCAATTTGCAAGAGTGTGATATTTCTTATGAAGCCAACAATTTCGAACAGTCGTCACTTCTTGTTAGTAACAAAATGCGTCATTTTTTGAGAAAAACTTCTGAAATTCCTCATAGTAGTAAAACGTCACAAGCTCGAGCCGATGAAGCAAAACATAAAGGATTTAAAGCTTCTGAACTTGAACATCGTTTTGACATGGTAAATTTTTTTTTACTCACTTTTGTATTTCTTAATAATTCAGTTTGGTATGGTATAATGTGAATTATGCTGATATTGAGGAACTTTTTATCCGATTTTTTTTAAGATTCAAACAAATTTTGATGATACAATAGGAAAAAATGCTGGAAATTGCTTGTTCAACCAAAGAAAATACTTTAACAAAATTTTGCGTACTTGGAAACCTGATGAGAGGTTCAAACCTCCACCAATGAAATCTATCATTCTTTCCAAATCAGATGATTGTGACATTGTCAGCATAAATGAACAAATTCAAGAGGAAAAATCTGTTAAGGAAAAACATCGATTAGGAGTGCTGAAACGGAAATTTGCACAAAGCTATATGAAATCAGCATGGAATGATCTTGCTTTCATCAATGATTTAAAAATGAATACAATCTTGAAAGAATCAAATCAAAATTCTGAAAGCTTTTCGTTTATAAATAAAACAATTGACGAATGTATAGAGACTACAAATACTTTAACTGTGAGTATGTTGTGGTTGTTATGACCTGTTGATCCACATTTTGAGGTGTAATTTGAGTGCTATCGAATGAATTGCTCTCCACAATAATTTTTCATATTTTCTCGAAAATAAGCTTCACACACTTTTCAATTTATTTTCAACTCTGCAGCAACAATTGTACTCTCGATATCCTCTTTATGCTTGCAAACGAAGAATGTTTCCAAATCCTCAAAAGCAGGAAAATGAAATGAGAATTGGAAAATATCGTGAAATGTTAAAAACGCGCAATGAAATGTTTAAAGCGTTGGATGAAATTAAAAAGTGTCGAAAGGAAGGATATTTAGACAAATTGATTAAAATTGCAGATCACGAACTAAGCTTCCACTACCAGATAAAATCGACATGTTTGATGCCGCGAAAAATAGAATTTACAATTGAGATCTGCAATCTAATAGGATTATCGCATTTGGATCGATTGAAACTGCCAGAAAACATCGAAAATATGACAAGTTTTGACATTTTAGCTTCAGTCTTTGAAGTAAAATTTAGCAATCAGCAAGCGATTACACCTTACGTGTTCGGTGATCAAAGCACGTATCGAGATCCAGCCGAGCCTGATACTTCATTTCTCGTATTCAAAAATAATGTCACTCGATATGAAAACAGACTCAAACATGCTAATCTTTCAATTGAAAAATGTCATTTGTATCATGAAATTGGTAAACAGAATTTGAAACAAAATAAATATGAGCAGGTTGAATATTTTGCTCGTAAGATTATGATGGAAGCAGACAACGCTCGAAGCTATTTATGGACGTTTCTTGGGCAAATTTTAGTCGTAAAAGCAGATGTCGTTCAAAAAAATGTCCATAAAATTAATCAAAACCTAATGACAGCTCTAAAGCTGGTTGATCGTTTTGAAAACACTTATTTGCATGATGTTATTGCACTTTGTGAAGAGGTATAAAAAACTGTTTAGGAAAGAACAATTAGATATTATACTTGACATCACTCAATTGTATTTTTTTATTTACAGATTTCCCGAGAATTTATTTAAGATGAATAAAAAACCAACTTTTTCTGATTTATTTACTTTATTCTTGAGAGTATCATGGTACCTAAATCTCCAAAAATATAGAAAATGCTCTCTGTGTTCTGTTGTCATCAGAAATATAACATACAATAGGTACTTGTGCAATGATTGATATTTTTGGATAATAAAAATTTAATGTGTTATATAATCCCTTAAAAATTGTCAAGATGTTACAATGTTGACGTTTCGAACAGAACCAAACTGCCACAAAAATGTCATCATGTGATAAATGTATATGAAGTGTTAACATTTCCATTGTACATAAGTCTTAAAGATATATTCTGATGATGAAAATCATACAAAAAATGATTTATCAGGTTCACTCATTTTTATTTCGAAGCTTTTCCTTGAATTTTATATGAGAGAGTATGAAAGCGTACATATTGCCAACAAGTTGAACTCTTGATATATAAAGTCTTGCTGTCATTCTTACTTAATATTTTGTTTTGTATCTTTCTGGACTTTTTTTCATCCTAAATTCGTACATTTTTTGCAGCATTAAATTATATCTGCTAAGGTAATTAAGTCAATTATATAGGGCGAAAAAAATCCTGAAAAGCGAAGAAAACAACAATAACGTCATGATGAATCTGCTTACATTAATTCGTTTCAGTGCAAATGTTTTTATTTTATCTGTTTAGCAGCTCTGAATAAAAAGTAACATTAAGAGACGAAATATCTGCTTAAGGCAAGTAAAATTGTATCTATAATAAAAATAAATAAGGATTAAAAATGGCAAGAATTGTTTCTTGAAAGGAAGTATCTTGGCATGAAAATAAGCTTACGACTTCATGTAGAAGACTAAGACTTAGTTGACTTAGGACAGCTAGAACTTTTAATCACCATCATATTTAAATATTTTAACATAGCTAAGTTAAAGGCTAAGTCATTATTGTCACGATTAAAATGTTTTTGTTAATTACAAATTTTTATAATGGAAATTGTACCTGAAATTACTTGTAAGAGAAAAACTAATTTTCTATCTGAAAAACAACCCATTTCCATCCCAAACAAACAATCGATTTATTTTCTCGGAAATTTTCTATTCAAGCTTCTAGCTTCAGTTTATATGATATATTTTACAACCATTTCTAACCAAAACCGTCCATTTTCATCTTTTAAATATATTATTTTCTGCAAACTTTCATCTTGGATCTTAACAATTGTTTTTATATTTCATTCGATGAAAAATTTTCCTTTAATTTTACAATATTAAACAAATTGTCTCTCATCTTGGGTGTATGCATGCTCCACTTGCATATTTCCTTTTTATGCTTTCGAGTATTATTTTTATAACTTTTTCATGGAGAGAATTTTCACGAGTGCGATAAGCCTGATCTCAAGAGCCAATTTCGAGATCATCATCACTTTTTGTCTCGAGAAAATTTTCGCATTCAAAAGTATGATAAGTATAAGAAAGAAATATTTTTGCATTTTCTTGAGAATCGATTAATTCTGGGATAAAAAGCTAGGTGGGTGATTGAAGGAAAACTTCAAAAGGTACAAAAATATTTTTTACATCTCTAACGGATGGCGATGATCAGATATAGGAAAATTGGTTTAAAGATTTTAATTATTTAAGTTATTCAATCTTCACAACAAACTGTTTTCATTTAGTATACCCGTATTTGTTTGCTTAAAATTAAAATTGTCAAATATAATTTGAGATTGAAATTGCATTTGTTATTTCAATATATCTTTTACACATTTCGTCAACACGTCCAGACTCTAACAGGAGAAACGAAAATATAATTGAAATTGGGAGATATCCACTTCACAGTATTTGAAAATTTGTCTTGTTTGTTTTAAATTACAACCTAAAGTTAAAGCTTAATGATGAATGGTTTGGTATTAAATTCATAATTTATTTTATAAGGAAGGATTGCCACACATATAAATATGGCTACATAAATATAACATGGAATCGATTTTAATTGACATAATTTTATGGTTGGAGCAATTATGTATGTGTTTAGAAGTAACATAAAATTTTTAATGTCGGAAAAGTCTTAAAATTGTATTTATTGTCTATCTGAGATTGTTGTTTAAGAGGAAACTAAGAACGTATAGAAGAAAACTGAAGCTTGAGAAGAGACTATAAAATAAATTATATCCCTTGACTTGAGATTTCAGTCTCCATTGAAAATGTTTTCTTTCATTACTCAATAATCCTGATTGATGATGCATTGCTACTGTTAGAACTTTGACTTTTAAACGAACTGTGAGGGTTACCTACTCCTATTAGCTCAGTTGAGTTAGGAATTTCGGTAGTTGTAGTCGCAAAAGTACAACGCTTATTAATTTTGATAGCTCGATTTCGTCTATGATGATGATAGCAATTATGATGACCACTGTGCCTTAACTTCAGTTTGGAGCAGTTTGTGCATGCTTTCATGCGTGATGTTTGCTGTTGATTGCCGTCACATACGCTACAGTGCTAAATTTTAGATATTCATCATGAAAATTGTACAATTCCTCCTCTTCTTAATTAATTGAATACTCACAGATGCTTTTGATGTCACCATGTTGGGCAAAGGACACTTAATAATATAAAATGAAATATTTTGATTTGAAAATAGAATAGATAGTAGTTTTGAATTTATTTCTGAATAGTTAAAGTGTTTTAAATTACTTGGAATAAATATCTAAGTGAAAAAGGACATTGAGCGTTTTAAACAAACTACATGAACATACAAGCACAATGAGCATACAAATTGGAAAATAGTTTAAAAATATGCCATCTAGATATTTATTTTAATCTGTCATGTTCGTAAGGGAGAATGAAATTTAATTTTACGGTAGATAAGATCCTTTTTAACGCTTAAAATATGCAACAAGCTGAAGTCTTCAGAGAGAAGCCCATTTCTAAACGATGAAACATCTATTGAAATCTTACAAAAACTGTTTGAAATTCTTATCAAGCGACATATCTAAGAAAAACTTCCTATAAAAAAATATACAAATTGAATGCATAAAAGAGCGAAAAAAAAGAAGCTTTTCGCTAATTTAATAAAAACCAACAAAATTGTAGTTATTTATATATATTCATTTATTGATTGGTGGATAATTTATTTCGTCTCACTCTGAAGGCTTTTTTCTCCTCCATAAAAATTAAATTTTCGTCGACAATGAAATGGAATAAAAGGAAAATTAATAACATCGAAAAAATTTCAAGCAACAAGAACGTGTATTTAATCAGCTCATGATGAAGAAACGTGAGTGGAAATTGGTTTTTGATGAGGAATTTAAAATCATTATCGGTATGTGAACACAATGAATAAAGAGTGTTTGCGGGAGTCTTTGGTGCAGAAATTCGACAAAAAGTGGAAAAAAGGCGGGTGAAGTTAGAGTGACAATGAAGAAAAAAAGAATTCGTAGGATTTTCTCTTTTTGTCTACGTACCTCTTGAATTCGTGTTCGTTTTATTGATTTTGTTTAGATTTATTTGATTAAATATAACAAGAATGTCAAATGTTAACTGAACAATAACTAAACTAAATGTACGATTGTTCACATGAATTGTGTCGGATATGTTGAATTCCATGCAATGAGCATGTAGAGTAACAACGTCTTGACGCAAATCTCTGCAATAAACAATATGTTTTCATCATAATATAGAACAAATGATGATTTATTAGATAAATGAAGGGATTGAATGATTTTTACTTGTATTGTCGCATTAAATATTGCTATTGCTACATTTAATGATTTGCCTTCATTACTTGCTAAGTACAAATCGATTTCTTATAAAAAACAAGTACATCGAAAAAAGCGAGAAATAAATAGATAAATAAACTCTATAAACCTACTTTAAACAATGTTTGCGATTTTTTTCCTAAGGAGAGTTTTTTTCTTTTCCTTGATAAGCGAAGTTTGTTTTAACTAAATAAATATCAAAATTTTCTCATGAGACTCATTCCACTTTAAGTACAAATGTCATGACCCATCAACTTTATCGAAACATAAAAATGCGTTCGGATAAATGTTCGAGCATGTTCCAAAACTTCAGATGATGTTTGAAAAATTATTGAAAAAGTTTTCAAATTAATTTTTCTTGTAACTTTTGTTTTCTTTTTGTTTAGCAGGAAATCAGTTTTAAAAGTCAAGAAAGATCAAAACAGACTCAATTCTTCTTAACAAGCCGTCAACTTTGAAACTTTTCTTTGAACATCAGAAAACTTTGCGATCCCTATGATAAAAATCTATGAAGCGAATAAAATTACAAACTAGTTTAAAAATGATCTAGTCTAACTTTAAGCAAAGCGTACAGAATGAAAGTATAAGAAAAGATAAAAAAATTAAATTGATAGAAAGTTTCATACCTGTGAAGCTTTTGATCTCATTGTTGGTTGATATTTTCTCCGTATTTTTCTAGGGCAGCAAACACATAATATTCTAACGAATGCTCTGCAAAGAAAGTGCATTATAAATAACAAAAACTGTAAATTAAACTATGGGAACAAAAACAAATTCAATTTTGCAGTTTGAAAATAAAAGATTTGCATCCTTAAAAACAATTTTTAACTAAAGCAATCGAATGGAAATTTCGTTCGAAGTATAATGATCATATTTAGTATTAGATAGGAGAAATAACAACATAAATTTTTGTCATATTATATTTTTCTAAATTTGTTGTTCTACCTTTTTAAAATTTAATAAAAACAACTTGAAATATTTAGATAATCCCACATAAAGCTTTACATCTTTTTTAGTAAAATAAAGTATCCTAAATAGAGATACCATCAAACAGGTACATTATTTATTGCTTATAATCTTCTCAGATTTTATCGAAATATAGAAAAGCCAAAGAATATTAAATAAAAGATATCAACGTCCTTGTTTGAAAATCTGTCAATTAAAATAAATAAATGTTAACAGATTCATCCCTAAGCATTTAAATTTTCAAACATAAACATGTACCAAAAGCTATTAAAATTTAGATAATCGTTTAAGGTTAAAATAAATTCTTGAAGAAATAGACGAAATTACATAAGAAATTGGTAATTAAACTTGCTTCAAGATCGTGCTTGATTCACATTAAGAAGCAGGCTTACAAACCACGTTAAAGAAAAGTTAAATTATTAAACGCTATTAAAAATTGCTCCATTTGAAATCGATTACTGATGTTGAAGAAACTAACACAAAAAAAATTAATGTTTTGGTATGAAAACAAACATAAAATATTACATTGTGGTACTTTTATTCAACTTCTTATGTTGGTTTTATTTCCATCAATTTTTTTTGGATTTTTGTAATGAATTTCGCCTTTTCAAATTAAAAGAAATTTATTATACGATAACACACAGTTCAAATGCGTGAAAGTGCCTTCTTTCACGATAATGATTTATTATTCAGGAATGATGATAAAGCAAAGTTTGTTTTCATGTCAAGCCTGTCTAATGTAATTATCTGAACATTAAAAGACACAATCGCTAACTCACCTTCGAAAGTCTCGACTCCAACAAGCATAAATGACCGGATTCATGCCTGTGGAAAATTTTATTAAAATATTTTATTGGTTATTGTCTTTGAAAGTTTTTGTTGAAAAGATTTATTTTCAATATCCTACTTGAATTGATCCATCCAAGCCATGTGACAACAGCAGAGACAATTTCCTCGTGAGCTATACAATCGGCGCATAAGCCGGTTAATAAATTGACGACAAAGAAAGGTAGCCAACAAACAATAAATACGCCTGAATAAATCCGTCAGCGAAAGATATCATTTTTTATTTTCGTTCGATTCATAAGATATGTACGTTTCCATTGAATTATCCGTTTGAGTAAAGAGAAGGGGAAAAATGAATAGATATCTTTTGTTAATAACACTTTTAATGCACGAATACACATTAAAACTTATAGCGTGCCATTCATTAATAGTAATTTCAACTTTGCATACCCATCACAATTCCTAGGGTTTTTGCAGCTTTCTTTTCTTTTGCAAATTTTGCTAGTTTCCGTGATAAAGAAAAGTTCTTCCCAAGATGACGGTGTCGCATACCATTGTTGTGTAAGGCAGAGAGTGGTTCCTCGTCTGGTTCTTCAGGCGTTGAGTTTGCTGTATTTTGTGTAGTATGGTGGTTGTGACCCTCACGAGTTGTTCCACCACGATGTATTCTTAATGTTAACTGCATTTCTCCAGAAGTCATGAGCACCTGTTTCGTACCTAATTTAAGGGACTTGGTTTGTTCAGCTGCCGCTCGATATATCCGACAGTAAGTGAATACCATGACAAGAAGTGGAAGATAAAATGATATTGTTGATGAAAAAACTAAGTATCCTAAATGTTCCGTAAATGTACATTTGAACAGCGGCATTGGTCCATTTCGAACGTGTCGCCAGAAAACGATTGCTGGAAAACTAATGAGACTGGAACAAATCCATACTGCAGCTATCAACACCACAGCTCGATTTCGTGTCATTTTCATGGGATATGAGAATGGATCAGTAATAGCCCAATATCGGTCGAGTGATATGACACAAAGATTTAAAATTGAAGCTGTTGAGAAAAGAACGTCGAGAGAACGCCATGTGTCACACCAGTCGGTGCCAAAGAACCATGTGTTTTGCAATACTTCATAAAGAGCAGAGAAGGGCATAACAACTAATCCTACTAAACAGTCAGCTACTGCTAAACTCGTCACAAAGTAGTTGGTAGACGTGTGCAAATAGCGTTCACGTATGACAGCGAGAATGACAAGAGAATTGCCAAACACTGTTGCGAAGGAAAACAGAAATAAGAAAATCAAGAGACTAACACGATCACTTGGAAGGTCCTGAAGGTACTGCGTGAAATTGGGGTCGACGTTTGCTGATCTTGTTGCAGTTATACAGCAGTTTGAGTAAAAGTTAACTAAGTTCGTATTATTTAAAATCAGTACAGGTGGCTCGTCCGTTACATTATTCAATGCATAATTATTATTAAATATCATTAACTGTGAGTAATCCCAATAATACTCCGTCACATTTATCATTATGTTAAATAAATGCAAACGTGTAAGTTTTTGGATAATCTCTAAAAGCGTCTCCGCTTTTTTCTTATTTCATGTTCGTTCTATATTATTCCACTGTCGTCGATTGCTGCTCTATCCATTTAATGATTCTCTTTTTTTTCTCCTTCTTTCGGTCATCCCAGATGAGATAAACAAAACTTAATCAAAATTTTTATATAGCTTTAAAAGTGAGTACTTGAGCATGTTCAACAAATGCTTATTTTTCGTCACTGCTTTTTTCGAACCACTTGATAAAGATTTCTTATGTTTGTTTTTAAACATTTCAATCAATCACTTTCGATAATTACATTTTTATGTTCATAATTTAAGAGTTTTCACTTTGTTTGTGTCCTTAATTTTTTACTTTTGGTTTCCTTTCTTCACTTTTTTATTTACCTTTTTCATAACTTTTTAAAATATGTTTGAAGCTTCACAATACACAATACATCAGATATCTGAATATTTGATTTGGGAAAAGTTCCAATTACATTTCAGTTGAAAGTTTGTTTCAATTTGTATGAATAAAATAAAATTTATGTGAAAATTCAGCTGAATTGAATTAGAACTTTTCCCTATCTAAGATTTTTTTTCTGTTTAAAACTCTACGTTTTTTGAACCATTGATTGATCAAAGTATATTAGGTTAATCAATTTTAAAAACATTTCATGTCTTCTTAGCTCATTCCTCAACAGAAAATTTTACAAATTTTCGCTCATCGTTCATTGTCTGCATTAAAAAGTTTCTAAAAGAACATTTTCAATTCACAAGTTTTCAAATTTCATTCTTGTTCTTGAACTACTATTTCATTCACAGAATATTTTTAAGCCCCAATTCACTTGACGTTGCTTCGATGCAAAAGTAAAATCAAAATATTTTTTATTAATTCCTTTACTTCAGTTTTTTATTTTATATTTAGTTTAATTATTGTACAGCTATCGTCAATTGGAATTTGTTCATAGTGCAAAATAGCTCGTTCATTTTTTTGTTTTTTGTTCATTTTTTTTTTGATTAATAATATATTGTAAGTATATTATTTTAATTAAATATTAATTAATTTTATTAACAGGTCAATTCGCGTTCATTTCGGGTATAGGATTGTCATTTTCATCTAGTTGGTAGGACAGGTCTTTACCCTCAGCCATATGAATGACTTCTGGTTAATTGATTAAATTGATTGAATTGATGTTATGTTGATTTCTTATGTAAATGTATGGAATTGGCCACGAAAAATTATCACAAAGCAAACTTAAATCGTTCATAATTCTCGGTGCTACTCAGGAAAATATCAGGATATAAAGGAAAGTTTTAAAATGACTGTATTTAATTTTTCATACAATAAACTAATAGAAGAAATCAAAAGAACTCTCGATTTTGTTTAGATCCAATTTAAAATAATTCATTTTTCCGCTCTGTAACTTTTCTAAGATTCACCAAGAGAAAACAGGAAATTTTAAAACGATTATTCGACAACAAAATCAACTGAACATATATTAATTCCACTAATTTTATAGCAGATACCTCGGCGTTGGAGAGAAAATTGGATAAAACATCGTCAAGCGGCAGAAAAGCAATTTATTTTTTCGCGTGCCATTCTTTAAGGTCTAAATTTTTTCTTAAATTTTTTGTTTTTTCTGTTTAGAGCGAGTTTTGATCAATTTTACCACTGCACTAATGCTATTTAATCACTTGTAATTCTATTCCTTTCCATATTAACTGAATATGTTTGACCATACAAAGATTTATTATGTATTTTTATTTCTTCTCCTGTTGGTGAATTATCGTGGCTAGTAAAATTAATCCTTTCAGTTTCTAATAGAATCACATATTAAGTTAAAGTATGACATTCATATTTATAAATTATTTTACATTAATTCAATGGAATGTCTTAACAGTCATATTCTTTAAATTTTCAAACATGTTGTCTACATCCCATCAGAAATAAAACTGCCAACGAACACAGACGGTAAGACTTTTTCACTCAAGCAATAACAAGGATGAAGTGGAAAGTTTTCCAATCCACTTGGAAAGATTTTGTGGAATGATGTGAACTCTCTTACAGAAAAACATTCTTTGATATTTAGTCGTATATGAATCCTGCAAAGGTTGTGGTGCTATTTAGTGCTTAATTTTATTCGATTTTATTCGCACGCTTTATTCAAACATTTCGTGATATTTAAATTGATTTATGTTGAAACGTCATAATATGAAGATTTTATGCCTCGGTTCATCCAAGAAAATTTTCATAGTCAATTGAGTCATATTGTGGTTGAACTAAACTTCAGAAATATTTAAATGTTTGTCACACGTACAAAATATCAATAAATTTTAATGATTGCTGTTTTACTCAAAAAGCTCACTTAATTAATTCTAATTTTCATCAGGGACCAATTTAATATGTTCAAGTAGTAAAAAGTTCACACTTTGTCCAACCATAGCGATTTTTATATATCTACAGTGGAACTTCGATAAACAGATGGCTCAAGGGGGGTCAAGGGGATCAGTTTATCAAGGTTATCAGTTAATCGAGGAAATTTTTTATACAAATTCGATTCAAGGGGACAAAAATATCTGTTTATCGAAGTTCCACTGTACATATATATTTATTTAAATATGTTTTGAATAAATGTATAATATTTAAATGCATTGCTTAAAGTCTAATTTCAATAGAAACATTCATGCCAAAGTGTATGGTCATTTTCATTGTTTGATTCCACTACTGAAGATGTGAACACCTAAAACAAGTTATTCTGGAACATTCAAAATGCGTAATCGCGATACAATATATTTGAGATCAGTGCTGGTTTGGGCATTTCCTTTGTGAGCTGAAAATTTGAAAATTTTGAATGCGGTACAACATACAGAAACAGAAGCCTTCTGGGGAAACAAAATTGCGGCGTGAATAAATTTCCATTTCATATCGTTAGAATCGCTCTAGGTAAACATACATACACAAAATTTTTGTGAACAATGAGTTTGTTGAATAAGTAACAATAATTAATGCGATCGAAATATATGTATGTATGCTAAAATAATATAACGGAAAATTGATGCCGTTAAACACGGAAATGTACATGATTAAAATTGAAGAAACAAACGCAATGAAAAGAAATTATTTATATCAGTGTTTAATCTTGGTAATACCTTTAATTGTGATGGAGCATTTTAGTATTAACTCAAAAATGTTGCACCTCAGAAGAATTTTCCTAAAAATGTTTATTGTTCCTTATATTAAAATCCCCCCTAAGGTATAATAATTATGAATCAATATCGATATAATGAATACCTTGCCTCTGATCACCTTAGATTCTACGTTAATTGTAAAAATGTGGGAAGCCAACAATCGATTGATTTTTTTCTTTAAAACATATGGTATATCCATATCGTTATAGAAACATAAAAATATTTCATTATGGATATGCTTTTATTTGAACTTTTATATCAGATATCTTCAATAGAATTTTAATTTTATATCTTTGCCTTTAAGAAAATTATACGAATGATGAAGGCAAGTAGAAAAACCTAATCTATGAAGAATCTTACTTTATTTTTAGCCCTAGTAGTTACAGCTCATTGAATTGAATCTAATTCATTCAATTAGCAACTTAAACAAATTATTGAATTTTTAAGGGAAAATCATTGAATTGAATCATTTTGAGTGGTTCATTAGGCAAGTAAAATTTTTTTCGAGGAATTGTTTCGATCTCATACATGGGACAATGCAAAGGACTTATAAAAGGATCGCATAATGGGATGGGTTATACTTACTTTATCCAGTACAAACGATGAATCTATTTAAAAAATTACGCTTGGATTAGGTAAAAAAGATGTCTAAATGCCTTCTGACATATTACCAAAGAACTCTTATTGTGAATCTAATTAATGTTAATTTTAATAACGATAGATGATTTTTAGGAAAACAAAAGAATTTATTTATTTTTCTAGACTCTATCAAGTGAAAATATTATTTTGTTATCGTTTAGGGCGGCTTCGGATAAAGCAAATCAAACCTTCGCTACGTAGCAATATATAATTGATAGATATGATACTGTGAATTTGAATATTTTATAATATTTATGAACAAAAACTCCGTGGATTGTGATTATGGAGACATACATGAAATTCCAATTGTGAGTCATCATGAATTTTATGTACCTTTAAATAATTGACAACGATTTCGAGAACAAAAATGTTCTTCATTTCAGATGCGTTCTAACAATATTTAATATCAAAGCCATTTATTGAGTGTTTACTTTTTAAATTTTTGTATGAATAGCTAAAATTATCCACATTAATATTTTTGAAGAAGATATTTGATATTTTTAGCAGATAGGTCAATTTCATAAAGTTGATAAACTTTGTATACTCCGAAAGCTCTAATCTTTGTTTAAATTACATAATTCGATGAATTCAAAAGCTTTTATTTAGAATTATATAAATCAATGTTTTTCAAACTTCTTTCTTCTGTAAATAGACTTTCTTTTAATTGAATTAATATTTCTATTAATATATTGTGATTTCATAACAAAATTTAAAAAGGTTATGAAATTTTAAGGTTTCAGAAAAATCTAGGACAAATTAGTAATTTTTTGAAGGTTATATAGATAAAATGTAATTATCTCTTATATAATTCTCCATTGTCTCATTTTCTTAGGTTTCATATTCTTTTTATCGTAAAACTTCTTTCTTTCTAGAGTTGAATTACTCTTTGGGGATGTAAAAAGATTGAAAAAAGAAGCTGAAGTTAAAACGAAAAAAGATCGTAGATATGAGAAAATATATTTATCAGTGCATGTGAGATATTTTAGTTTCTTCATTGGTAATCATTTTTTCTCTTTAATAACTTTCATCCAAGCTAATCTAGGTAGAAGTTTCAATATTTAACTACTGGCAATAAAGTGAAGACAGAACTTCATGTACTTACATATGTAGATCATCCTGTGAAAATACTATTCGGAAACTTTTGACTAACATTGAAACGTGATTATGTAATTATTTAATAAAAACAAAGAAATATTATTTTAACGCCTTATCATTTGCAATGTTCGATAGTAGTGTAAAGTAGCTATATGAAGCTCTCAAAATAGACAGAAATGTATCCAATTTCATGATGATAAATACGGCATGTATTATAATTGGTTTTGATGCTGTGATTAAAATTAAAATCTGCTTACGGAAATGTCTAGAGTGTTCATACCAGTTACACTCATATGCAGATATTGATAGCTGATTGCTCTGAAAATAAATGAATTTATTGTTTAAAGTTCTTTAGTCACACAAAATACCTTCGTTTAAATTTTATGATTCCTTACATAAAATGTGATTTCATTTGCATGATTATAATACATCCACAATATCGTTGTCATTGTCACAATGTAGAAGAAAATTATCGCTAATTGAATGCCAAAATCAACCTGTTTGACGAATAAAACTTTTGAATAGAGTTAACGAACATTCATCGTTTCACTTACCTGAGTTGCTTGGAATAGAAGAGCGCACAAAAGAATCGAGAATACGATGAAATCCATAAAAAGAGATGAGCTTATTAAAGATGTGAGCTCCTTGACAAAAATGTATATATCTGAACGTTTTTTCACACATTCAACAAAATGGGAATATTCTTCGTCAATGCCACTCAATCTCTTATTGAGAATTTTCAATTTAGTGATAACAAAGATCATAATTGAAACGATAAATGAATGCCAGCATGGAACAATCAGCATTCCAATGTTCATTATGTAATACTGAATGAAATAACTCAGCCAAAAATTGTTGAAAGGAAACCAGTTTCTAAGTATTAATGGTGGTGATTTATCAGATGTATGAAGAAAAGCTTGAACAGCTGCGTTAACACACATGAGGTTTCCAGTAATTAAGGCGATGATCCAGAAGCAAGCTGTTAAATTACGCATATATTTGATACTTGAATGAATGATTTCCTTCTCATGGTTATCCTCAATACTTAACATTTTTTTGATTTCACTATCAACATATTTAATGATTGCCAGATATCTCTGCCGATTTTTATAAAAATTAATCATTCGGAATGATGTTGTCGCGAAGAGTAATGTTGTTGCTGCGTTTTTTGTGATTTCATCAATGTTGGTGAAATGTTGAAATAAATCGATGAACTGTATGTATAAATCATTTGATTATTTACCCAGGTAGAAGATTTACGAATAATTTCGTTATTGAAAAAAATCGATAGTAAATATTCTAATGCATGTAAAAATAATATATTGTTCATATTTACCTGTGATATATTGAATATAATGAATGAGACGGTTAATAAAACGCCTCTGAAACAGTGCAATCTTTTGTATTTTTGATCATCATATATCATGTAACCAAATATTTTCATTGCTCTTAGATTAGCTCCAATTAGCGGATTCATTTTAATGTTTTTATCCAGAACAAATTTTTCAATAGAAATCATTTTTTATTCTGTTTTAAACCAAACAGTTTCAGGTGTATGATGACACTATATTAACTATGTTTAAAACTTTATTTTTATAGGAAAATTTGTCATATTCCACGTAGTTAAATTTTGTTGATTTGAAAATAATTATTAATTAAGCTATAATTTAAATGAAAACAATTCATCAGAAATATATTACAATCGATTATTATTCGATTTTTCATTAGTTTTCCTGCCAATCGAACTCATTAAATAAAATATTTAAAAATTGATTGACGTAAGTTTAATGAGGCAGCATAAATACGTATTTGAGCATTGGGTTTTAATTAACTACGTTCTAATCTGATGTTTTTAAATCGGCTTTACAGACAAATTATCAGTTTTTCTTGATTTTTATTTTCCGACTAGTTTCGGCAATTAAATATTACCATCATCAGGGATCTAAAAGATTGAAAAAAACTTTGTCAAATAATAGTTTTTTGTAATCTTCAAAATTAAGGGCTTTCTATTTTATGGGTAAAACTTTTAACTTCGATGATTTACAATGTAATGACTGAGAGATGTGCAATGCCAGTTGTCATGCCTCGGATAACATTATTACATTTTATAGTTTGAAAATGTAATTTGACCTTTAAATTGGGCTCGCTGTGCATTGCATTAGAAAGAAAAATTTACAACTGTGATATCTGAAATGATAATTCAAATAATTCAATAAATAAATTTTCAAATTTATTTTTCAAGAAAGGGTTTTGTAAACGCGTTCATTGCTTTGAAATTATCCGTAATTTATATCATTTGTGTTGCAAATTGAAAATTTACTACTTTTTATTTTTTCTTTAATATTCGTTTTAAAACCTTAAAAATTAATTGAATAGTTCATTGTATTGAAAATCTTAACAAACTACATATCTCAATTCACTTTCTCCAGCATACAAAAATAATATTTTTGCACGAAATTGAAGAATATATGTACAAACCTTTGGAAAGCTTTAGCACGCTTGCGCCTTAAACAAAGCTCCCAATGGAAATCTGTATTAAATTTCTTTTCACACATGTTAAAGCTTAAATCTGAAAGTAACCGTTTATCTGCTGTTTATTTCTCTGTTCAGAATAATCAATAACCAAAAATACTTAATTATCCCATTTTTTCCTTTCATAAAGATACATAGTTTTATTGGTTTCATATGGCAAATAATTTATCTTAATTAGCGGTAAGGTTGTATTCGTGTTGAATCAGAAAGCATCGTTTAGGTCTCATTAATAATGAAAATTATTTTAAGAGAAGAAACAGCTTATTAATTTGTATTTTTATTCTACTTTAGTTGCATAAGATACAAAAATTTTAACAATTCAAATTGCTCATAAAAGAGGTTCTTTTATAATGTTTGCAGGTGGCTCATTCATGTGATTTCTTTTTATCTTTCTTATCAGGTAAATTTATTTCCAATTTCTTATGACTCAACAATCATTTCATTATTATCATATTTTCAAGCCACGTTCTGATGATCAAAAAAGTTTTGCTTGATTATGTAATTTAAAAGGAAATGTTTTTTCGTGGTAACATTTGAAACGATTCGAAAGATGCTAAGCTAGATTTATATGAGAGTATTATTTAAAAAGAATGATAGAAAGATACGTCAATGAAACATTATAGCCTAATGCACTCAAAGATTTTGTGGAATTTTCCGATTCAATTAAGTTAGCAAATTTAATGAAATTCATATTATTGGCAACTCATCAATCAGTAGCCTCCAAGATATCATCAATATTATTGATTTACCATGACTATATAATCAAAATATGAATAAATCGTAACAAATTCAAAACTTTGAACCGCAGGTTATCAGGTTAAAAATACAAAATGTAACCACAGTCTAACGAAATTTAAGACTTAAATAAATTTGGAAACAAACCATTCGAAAAAAAATATTGCAATAATAAGCAAACGATATTAAGATAAACTGAGTCACGAAATTGACATAAATTTAATATTCAGAAGATTATGCTGCTTTAATCTGATTTTCCTTCTAGTCAAAAACTGCCAGCCAGTCTAATAAACAGTCCAATCTTATAAATTTTAAAACAAATTGATCATAAAGAGCTAGTTTAATATAACGAATGATATTTGCATGTGGATAACGTTTGAAAATTAATTGAAAGTATTAGCTGCTTAATTTTTTTATTTAAAACCGATGCTAAAAAGCTGAATTCGTCTAAAAAGTTCCTTCAAAAGTTTAACAAGGAAACTAGCTTAGGTAGTACGTAGGAAATATTGAAATAATACTTCTTACTTATCTCCTGAAAATTAAATGAAAATCCTTCAAATAATAGATATAAACTTTATGAAAAAGAATTTATAAATAGCTGCGAGTGATCAAAGTAACGCCTTTCAGTGAAGTGAATTTCTGAGCCTCATAAATATTTGAAGATATTTCTTTTAATATCTCGGAATTTGCAACTAAATACATCCCTCCAATATGAATATCTTGTTTCCAGTTAGTTTATTCTTCAACAGTAATGTTGTTGAAGATGATTGAGAAAAATATTATCTTCATTTCTTGCTGATGATGTTATTTAAGAATTTATAATTGTCTCGTATTCGAAAATGTAAATAATATCTACATCAATTAAGTATCTGAATCTAAATTATCTTTTTCAAAGACCTCATTATTCCGCATACATTGCTCATGTCATAAGCACTTTCCAAATTTAGTTCTTCATGTTATTTTTGTCTTTTTTCAAAAAACAAATTTAACTTGAATTTTTAATACATATGTATGAGTTCAAAGTTTAATTCGGTTTCAAATGTAACTCATTATAAGTTTCATGTAGAAAATATTTTTATTACAAATACGCTAATCATATTTGATAAAATTTAAAGCAATCACATTCAACTCAATGGTTGGTGAAGAATATGATAATTAAAGCCTTTCTTGCAGTAGTCATTACAAGCCTCTTTCAAATCTTTGTATAATGATTTAGGTCCACATGAAAATATGTTGATCCGTTTTCTAATATAAATTTAATTCATCCAATAATTATTGTCAATAGAATGAACCGAATATTTTTACCTTCCATATAATGACGACCAGTAATTGAATAGAAAATTCCAATTTGGTTCACAATTGTAGATTCTCGACGTTATAAAGTTTGTATGGCGACCAAACAATTCTTCCGGATTACTTAAAGATTCGTCATCATTAACTCCTGAAGAATTCTCTTTCTTATGTGAAAGATAAAAGCTTATTTGAAATCTGTCGGGTTGATTTTCATCCCAAAACTTGAATTGAAAGATTTTCAGTACAATGCCAAAATTTCCAGTTAAATTTTACAAACCATTTGAGTCAAGTCACATAGCGTATCAGCAAATAATGTGAATTGTTTTATATCATTAGACATCCAAATAAAATGAATTCGTTTCAGCGACAAAGACTTTGTAGTTTTCCTGAAGATAACAGACAAGATAACAATAATCAAAAGAAATAAATATAAAACGTTAGCTTTTACATAATATAATTGAAAGTTGAGATGAACGGCGTCACGCCAATTCCAACTCCAACTAGTACTACCCTTTCATGAGTGACTATTGACTCCATCGGACTTGGAAACGGTCCATCTAGAACAAAAATAAGTTTCCGTGGAGCCACAGTTTTACGTCTACGATGCCTTGATCTCCTTTTGTAGGACTTTTCTGAATAAAGTTTGAAGTTGAGAGCTTTTTTATAGAGTTCACTCGTCCAATCACCTCGAACTGCGATCGCTAGGGTAAAAGTAGCTTGCTTTGGTTCAATAACAAAATCAGTTATTGTAAACGGATGCCATTCAAGAGTAGAAAGGTTTTCACATTGTAACAAAACGTATTGTCCTGGACGGATGGAAATATTTTTGTATGCTCTAAACGTTAGAAAAATTGCAGCATCAGTTGGAAAATGCATGGAAACCATTATGATTCGGGTGAAAAAGCGTTTAAAATAGCGTAAAACCAAATCAAATAAATAGATTGAAAGAGAAATTGATGGCCATATCCAAAACTGCAGAGTGAATGAATAATTTTGTGTTATAAAAACGATAGATAAGTATTAATACTTGAATATTAGATCAACATTTACATTCTTCCTTCCAACTGCAAATGTTGGCTTTTCTGTGCAGTGACTCTCCATGTATATCGCAGCATGTGATGTATTCAATTTCTGTACGATATCGCAAGTTGGTGGTGAACTTGTGACGTTATCTTGATACTTTATGATGTTACTGCAATATACAAAATTCCGATGAATGAATATGCTTGAGCTTTCATAAGAGACATTGTCACCTAACGGGATGATAATACATCATGACAAGTAGCAGCAAAAATAAATGATGAACGCCTAGAAAGCTGTTATAGAAATATTCACGCATTTGTCTTGTGGAAAATGTCCAAATGATGATTAAGCATGCAACCATTGTCCATCCGGAAAATCCAACTGGTGTCAAAAAAATCAGACGAAAAATATTCTAAAAAAATGAAACGCGATAAAAATTAACAAAGATAATAAAAAGAAATTTTTGTCGAAATTCGTGTGAACCCATTTTATGTTTCACATCTATATATGAAATATTTATGTGATGATTAAACATTTAAAGCAATTACCATAAAACGTTTGTTCTTCTTCACTTTTGGTCAAAATAGATTCATAATTTTAATTGTCACCATATCGTGTTTGATTAATTTGTGGTATTTAGCTACTAACATAACTTTCAACGACTTTTACCCAAACTTTTTTTGTTTCCCTCAATCAATTCACTGAAACATTAAAGATAAGATCTTTAAACTTACGTCTGCATCGTCTCTTGCCCAACTTATTTCAGGCAACTTCGAGTCATAATTTTGAATGAAGTTTTTTGCATTAGCAATGTGAATAATTGAATGTATAACTAGAAGTTCAAAGAGAGTTCAAAGCAATTATAAGGAAATTAAACATAAGGCATACCAGATGTATAGACTAATATTAAGGCGAGACATTGATGAATGACCTTGAGTTTTTCTAAGTAAAGCGCCAACAAATGAATTGAAAGCTTACAAAATATTTTATGAAGAAGTTTGTTGAAAGTTTTGCAAACAGGAAAGATGATGATTACGATGGAGAAATTTATTACGGTTGCTGTAAGTCTCGATATGCACAGTCCATGCTATTTCATACGAAGGAAAAGAGAAGAAGATGTGAAAATGATATTATTTCAAGCATCAAGTGTTTTAATACGAGGGCCTTTTATAATTTTTCACACCAACCTACCCCAAGAATCTTTCGCAGGTAATAGTAGCGCTCGTCTTTATGATGAACGTGGTATACCGCACAAAACGAATAAAACGTTACACTCAAAAACACCATCTGAAGGTAATATTCATTGTCAAACTTTTAGAGTTTCGCTTAAGGATAATTGAAAGGTGCTTACGAGAAGAACATAACGTAAAATAAACTTTTTTGCTGAGTGAAGTTTACTCTGGAGTTCTTCCTTGTCAGCTGCTGATACTTCTTTCATCGTAAGTGATGAAATCCAAGAGTTTCTTTTCAGAAAAAAACATGTGAAAAAGTCAGATATATAAATAATTAATTACGATTTTTGACTGTCAGCTATGACTTTGAATGAACAAAAGTTCTGTTTACATTTATTTAAAGATCTTAGGAAGCAGATTTTGTAAGAGAAACTGTCAAGTTTTGTTTACATTATGAGCGGAAAGTTTATCGTGATTTCTTTGAATTTCATTCGAGAATTCATCATCAATGATATTTTTTCTGAATGTGATGAATTACTACCACGAGACTGATTATTTATCTTTTGAAAATAGGAAATTCATCAATACAACTCCTCGAATAAAATTAGAGCACTCGCACAATTTTTGCTACAACTTAAAATCTCGTTCGACTTCATTACGAAAATTCATCCAAACCTATATTGAACTGAAGCTTCTGATGAAAACATGAAACAAATGATTCAAACCTTCGTTATCGTGTGTTGCTTCTTCTACCAACCAACAACCAACGAAATTTCAGATTTTAAGGTTTGTTTAGTTGTTGTATTAAATAAAGTTTAATGAACTTCTCGACCACATGTGCTATATTTCTATAACTTGAGATGATTTGCAAGTTCTTAGATCATTAGATTTCATTTCATAAAACAAATATTGGGTATTGTTTCTCACTTATTTATAGTTTCTAGTTTAAATTACTGTCTATCAAAGTCACGATGTAAATCAAGAATTCTCTAACTTAGGAGATATGCATAGTTTAAAGAAATTAATAAAATTAACCAGAAAATTCATAACTTTTTAAACAAGAATACTGGCTATGTACAACGAATAATAAAACTACGAAAATTATTTATGTGTGTAAACCTTCCCGCTACCGACAACAGACTGAGCTATAATTTTGTATATTAAACAGGAAAAATCTGTTATTTAACTTGAGCATCAAAGTTGTTATTTTATTTCATTTAAAAAATATTTATTAACAGGAAATTTGTGCAATTCCTAACTTGACTACCATACATAGGAAAAACTCGAAAACTTTTTATAATTATCTATGTGACACTGCACTCTTTACGTGACAACAATCTCGATTTATTTTTGTGAATTAAATAAAACTCATACAATTATTCCAAATAAACCCCGTAGCAATTTCCAATAGCAGTGAAGCTTGCAGCTTTATAAACGTGAGTAACACTGCAATCTTTCCTTGAATCCCATAAATTTTTCTGCTTATAATGAATGCCCTGCATGAATTTTTCAACGATTGTGACAATTACAATGATTCTGTACCTGCAGATTGAATATGTTTCAAAAATATTTCATTTCATTGATTTAATATTTACCTGTCAAATCTTTTTTCTTTCATTAATTTCAATACATCTTCACTCACTTTTTGGCATAAATCAACATCAGTTTTCGCGTCAAACCGATCATATTTTGAAAAATTATCTTCCATAACTTCAATTAGAATTTTTTCAGCTTGTTCGCGATTAAACGGATTTTTCGATTCAAGACGGTAAGAATTTTGATATCTCATTGGCAATCCTGCTCGCATGACAACCACGACATGTTTCGGATGCATTTTGATAGAACTTTTTGTTTCAGACATCGCGAACCAACTAACGTTGATAACGAAAATATTTTTGGTAAGTTTTACTTTCGATTGGTACGCATTCTTCAATTGAACAAAATCATTCGAATAGATAGTTTCAAGTAACGAAAATATCTTCCAATATTTCTAGCGTGAACACATTCATGATTTACGGCTTACGCAATGAAAGTGAACGAATTCTAAATGCATAATTCACAATTTTTATTGCTGTTTGATCGATAAGGCATACAAGTTAAAGGTGCTCATATCTTGAAATATTGCATCTTCTTGAATCAAAATTTCATGTAATATAAGACTATGGTGACAAAAAAGCTCTATAATTTTTAAAAGTTTCATGTTCATCTTTAAAGAAAATTGTTCAAAGTTAATATTTATATTTAAATAGGTTACAGTTTATTTCAAATTTTATTTCCAATTTCATGTAAAAAGTTTTGATGAGTTTTGGAGGATTGATTTATATTAATATTTTGGTTTTGACTTCACCTAACAGTCATTATAAATGGGCATAAATTTAAATTTCATCTACAAACCGTTAATCAAAATTTTTGATTGCTTTCTTAGTGAAGCATAATAAATTATAATTACAAACGCAATTGTATGTTCAAATTTGTTAACAAATAAAAAACAAATGTGTTCTTTCAAAGGGTATCTACTGATAAAAGTTTACCATCAGTTGATCCGAAATAATATGAACTTTATATTGGAATAGACTTCTTTATACACTACCTGATTTTTATCATTGAAGATAACTTCTTATGTAGACTTAGATGTGTTAGCTTAAACGTTTTGAGAAATATATTTCTTCCATTCTCATGCTTATCTTTGTGATTTTATGCTTCACTAGCACCTGATAATGCTTTACATTGACAAAAGCTTGCAATAAGAATATACATATATAGACTTTCGCTAAGGAAATTAGAAACAACAGCGTTTCGATTTGTTAGTATCACGAAATGAATATTTTCATGGAGTAATAAATTTAGTTTCCAATAAGAGAAAGTCAACTGTGGATTTTTATTTGAAACAAAAATCTACCCAGCCCAAGAGAATTCCGTAAAACGATTTGTTTTTATACACTAAGCGATATTAGAAATTTAATTTAATATCACTTTGAACCATTAATTTGTGTAATTGGAGAAGTTTAGTAATTTTAATGATTTAATTTAAGCTTTCCGGCGATAATTTACTTTTAACGCTATCAGAAGCACGTACATAAGCGATATCTAAAGAAATTTTTCTTTTAAATTCGCCAAGTGGACTTGTTGTTTTATGAAGTTCAGACACACACACGCACAGAACACTTTAGTTATGTTCTTTTATTAAGAAAAAAGGAACGATATTTACGCTACATAAATAGGTCCTTAGAAGTTTGAATTTATTATTGTTTTTACACATCTCTATAGGAGCAGAGATACATTGCTGACAATAACTGTTGAATATTATGAAGGGTTACTTTGGTGGGAAATTTAGTACTAGAACAGCAGCACCCACGTGCGTTTCTATTAATAAACCTTGACATTTAACATATCTTGATACAATTATCTACTTGATGTTTTCTTCGTCATGTCAACCTTTCATCGTAGGCGTATTGATCAAACAAGACAAACTATTTCAATCACAAAATAACACAACTTACAACCTTTCAGATGATTTCATAAAATTTACTAGAAATATTACAGCAATGTTTTGCAGGTCTGGAGCCATAAAAGCTCTTTTGTTACCAAATTATGGTATTGTTACACAAATGGGTTTCAAGAAAGAATGTTGAAGGAATAATTTTTTGACCCAGTTGTTTACTTATTTTCAAAGTTAAAGGGTGGAAAAAGTCTTCCGACAGAAAATGGCTGCAATGAAGCAATCATTCAAATATCAAAATACTTACCGGCTTGAATCAAAAAATCCATTCAACTCTGAACAAGTGGAAGTTATTTTAAAAAATGTAATGGACAAACAATTTTCTCAATTTGAAAGATTCGACACTCAAACATCTGTTGCTCTCTGTAAGATGGTCACTGATGAAATAATCAACCAAATTAAAGAGAAGAATTTTGATAGGTAAAACATTTCAAGATTTCAAGAATTTTAATGAACTTTCATTTTTGCGTAAATTCCCAACTGACGGATTAAAATATTTTCGTATTCTGTAGGATATAACTAGAAATTGAATAACCTTTCTACAATAAAGAAGAATTTAGAAATTGTCGCTTGTTACAATCTACATAATTAGGTCATAATAAAGATAAAGATAGTGGAAAAATAATTATCTATACATTCTTTACATTTTTTTAATAAAGTTTTCGCTTTTGATTTTAATAATCAATTTCAAATAATTAAAAAAAGATTCAATTACTAGGTACAAAATCATTGTCGTCATAACGATTTGCGAAAAATTTATGCAAGGCATGAACTATTCACAAAAAAGTTTATGGGATCCAACAACTGATTCGAGTGTTACATACATCTATGATAGCCCAAATTTCACTGCCATTGGTATCTGTTATGCACTTTACTACGAATAGAAAAATAAATTCTGTGAAATTCATTCAATGATAAATACAAACATTTTTTGACTTTATATAATTTTGTCTTTATCTGGTGAGTTTTTTATCAATTTTCTTGTTCTTATCAAAAATTTCGATAAATGTGGAATTTTTTGCAGTTTATTTAATATGTCAGTGTCTGGATAAATATGAAATCTTTCTGTTGGACGCTTTTTCTCTTTATTGGTGCAAGTTTGATTATATCCATTGTGATTTTTGTTTCACTTCACAATGAAAAATCAAGTGATAAAATTTTAAATAACGAAGAACTTTTTGAATTATCGATCATACACATAAATGACTTTCATTCAAGATTTGAAGAAACAAATGAACTTTCATTACAATGTCAAGAATATGAGAAATGTATTGGAGGTTTTGCTAGAATGAAAAATGTTATAGATCAATTAAAAGCAAACAGAAAGAACGCAATTTTACTGAATGCAGGAGATAACTTTCAGGGAACTTCATGGTACAGTTTATTTCGTTACAATGTCACAAGCCACATGTTAAACTTCATTGATGCTGATGCAACAACAATAGGAACTCATGACTTTACCCATGGTGTCAATGGTCTTGTACCGTTTTTAAAAATACTTAATTCACCAGTTGTTGTGTGCAACATCGATGATAGACACGAGCCTTCAATACAGAATCTTTATCAAAAATCAGTTATAGTTACACGCAATGGAAGAAAAATTGGTATCATTGGTGTAATATTACAAGAAACAAGAGACATTGCAAATACCGATAATATTAACTTCAAAAATGAAGCTGATTCGATTCGTGATGAATCGACAAATCTACGACAAAAAGGAGTTAATATCATCGTTGTCTTGTCTCATTGTGGATTAGAACGTGACCGCCAAATTGCCCTTGAAACGGGGGATTTCGTTGATATAATTGTTGGTGGACATTCTCACCACTTTTTATATACCACGTTTGATAAAAGTTCACCCGGACCCGATATTCCAATTGGACCTTACCCAATAGTTGTGACTCCAAAATCTGGAAATAATAGAAAAGTTTTGATTGTTCAAGCATCTGCATTTACAAAATATGTTGGAGATCTAAAAGTTTATTTCAATTCACTTGGCCATGTGAAATACTATGAAGGAAATCCAATATTTCTCAGCAGTAATGTTGAAAGAGATCCTGACATATTACATGAGTTAATCCCATGGCGAGAAGAAATCAATCGATTGAGTCAAAGAGTTGTTGGATATTCAAAAGTTAATCTTATGAACATAGGTTGTCGTCGAAGCGAGTGCGTTTTGGGAAGTTTCTTAGCTGATGCTTGCAGGTGGAATACAATTCAGTCTTCCTAAAGGAAATATTTCGTATGGTGATATATTAGAACTAATGCCCTTCGAAAACACTCTAGACATTCTAAAATTACAAGGAGACGTCATTATTGACATATTTGAACACAGCGTGTCAAGTTCCTTCGATGAAATAGAATTTATTGGAATTCACATGCTACAAATATCAGGATTTCAATTGACTTTTAATACCAGTAAACCAGTTGGAAGAAGACTCGAAACTATCCAAATCAAAAATAAATACAATGAATTCGAAAACATTAATCTTTATAAGTCATATGCTGTCATAGCTCCATCGTTTCTTGCACGTGGAGGTGATGGATACACAATGATTAAAACTAACAGAAAGCATTATAAAGTTGGATTACTAGATATCGATTTAATCGAGAAGTATATATTGAATAAATCTCCAATATCACCCGAACTTGATCACAGAATCATTATGTTGAAGTAAACACTTAGAATATTAAATTCCTAATTCACATTAAATGCTTATAGATTCAAAAAATAAAGATAACACTCAGTTTGTTTGTTAATGTCTTCTTTTGAATGTGACAAAATATTATTTTTTGTAATTTTATTTTTCATTGTTCTCGATGTCTGTCATAAAAATCTGTTATAAATATGTAGTATAAATGATTATAATGTTCGTTTGTCCGATTGCTATAGAAAATGTTGAATGGACATGTAGTCAGCAGACCAATTTCAATTCGACGAGACGGAAAAATGGCTGAAAAGCTGGAAAAGCAAGAAAATCAAAATTTTCTTGTTGCCTACCTTAAAGCATCAAGTTTTCATGGAGTTCGCCATTTGACGAATTTCCGTCGAAATCATCCTTTTGAAACGTAAAGTTCATGGTTGAATGATTATTCAATTTTCACATCAAATCGATGAGTTATAAATTTTCTCGTTTCATAATTTCGAATTTACAGAGGTTTTTGGAGTCTCGCAATCTTAACGTTTGCGGTATGGTCAGCTGTCAACGCATCACTTCTATGGACAAGATACTTTACCAATCCTACAGTGATTACAATAGATCGTGAATATTTGAATCGAAATATCACTTTTCCTCCCATGACTTTATGCCTTTACGAGAAACTCAATGAGTCAGCAATGAACGAATTTCTGATGTAAGAAACTTCACTTCCATATGCTATAATTTCTATATTTAATCTTGCTGATTTTCATCTTCAAGTGAGAAAAGTTTTAATGAAACCAGACGTGCTGATCCGAAGCTCAGAAGTTTCATGAACAGTTTAGCGCACTTCAGAATCGACAATTTACACGAATTGGCAAATGCGAAAGAAAATTTCTTCGATATCGAAGATTATATTTCTGTAATTCATTTCACAATCAACAGTGTGATGGTTTTCCAACTCAACTATTCTTTTCTTATTTTGTTTCTTAAGATTATTATGAGGATATCTAACAAATTCCCACATCACATCACGATAACTTCATCCAATGAAATTTACTACTTTGAACCAATTCTGAGTGAACAGTTAGGTCTCTGTTATAGTTTCAATTCGAGGATTTCTACTCTTCTTTCACCAAAGTAATTAACGTGTGATATCTAAAGCATTCCTATCATCAAATTTTTCTATGAATTCTCTTTTAGTTATCTCTTGACAGGAAATTTAGAAAATAATTCGACTGACAAATTGTTAGAGGAAGTAAATTATTTTGACGGAGATGCAAGCGCTGTTACTGATGGTTTATCCAACAGCGCTGATGTAAGAAAATTTAAGAAAAAACAATTTCTTTTCTGATAAACATTATATGCTTGTATCTCTAATGTAGATTTACTATCATGGACCAAATGAACTCCCCTCGAAACTCAAGAAAATAACAAATGAAGATCCGGAGCAGAAAAGTTACATTTCACTAGTGCTAATTCCAGTTATAATAAAATCTCAGAAAAATACTCGAGACTTGTTTGAATTTCAGCGAAAATGCAAATTTGAGGATGAGTCCGATCTCGAGTATTTTCCACAAATCTACACTCAGGATTTGTGCCAACTCGAATGTCGCATGAAAAAGTTTCTGGAGTTTTGCGACTGCCTTCCATTCTTCTACAAGAGAAAAGGTGTGAGCTATGGTGATTTTTTGATGACACAATTTCCATTTTACATTGCTATTTCCACTTTTATCGCTTTCGTTTATGTTCAGGTTCCGACAAACAGTGTAGCAAACAAGGGTTGAAGTGCATTATCATGAACAAAGGTTGATATAATGTTCAACTTTATTACTTCATTGTTTTCTTTTGCTTGATTTAACACGTTAAATTAAATTTTTTATTGCAGCACTCGTCGATGCACTCCAACGTAACAATGACTGTCAATGTTTGAAGGATTGCAATGAAATTAAATATTCAGTGCAGGCATCTAATACAATGTTCTGGTTTCATGACTCTCGGGTATCATGGATGGTAACCCAAACAAAAGTTATTTATAATCGTGAACTCATCCATGGATTCACTGAAACTTTAATATCGTCGGGGGCAAACTTATCACTTTTCTTGGGCATGAGTAGTTTATCTCTTATCGAGATTTTCTTTTTCCTTTTTCGTCGCTTTAAAAAATGGCTTCTTAAACGTCGCAATCACAAGCATTAATAACGCTTCTCATCATTTTACGCATACGATACAATATTTTCAATCGAATATATTTTCAACATCAACTTTAATAATTTCTTTTTTTAAATTTATTTTCGGCACCTGTTTACTTTATATTCCAACACGGCACGCAGCATCTGGTTTGATGTTTATATTCAATTTTAACTCAAGCGAACACATTTTACTTAGATACAATTTGATTTACGAAGTTTAAAGGAAACAAAATTTTATCATCACCACCCACACTTTTTACCAAAATTCAATCTCAAATAAGTACATACATAAATGCAAATTAATTGAAATTTTATTAAAAAGCTTTAAGCGTGATATTTGTGAAACATTTAACATAAACCTACTTCACTTCAAATTATTATAATAATAAATAAAGTTTTGCCTAAATTAGATTCAAAATTATTCCAAAAATTATTATTACTGTAAATAAGTTGACTTCTGAATTTTCTTATTTTAAACATTTTAAGGCGTTTAAAACTGAAATCTAAATCTATATTTTTATGCTTCTAATGATATTTAAATATTATTACTTTGAATATATATGTAATATCCATGACGAAACATAAAAGCGAAACATATAAACCAGAAAAAAATATTCATCAAAGCAATTGATTATCAATCATGTGAATTGATAATTTTCTCCAGCATAGGTTTATGTGTACTTGTAATTAAAAAAAGTAAGATTTTATTGGTAAATTTAGTTTGTATCAAATGATTTCATTTTTATTGATTTTATGTACATGCAGATTCAGTTTATGGCTTGATGGTTTGTTCAATCCAATCGATGTAATTTGAAACCTTAAAAGATTGAACAGAAAATTAATTTAAGCTTTTAAAGATATAGAAATGGATATTACTCTCGTATAAACACCAGGCCATCCTTCCATTCCGCAGGGAGAAGGTCCATATGATACCAAACCTACAAGATACCAATAAGGTGGCGTTCCTCTTTCATTTTGTCTCATTAATGGCCCTCCAGAATCACCTCGACTGTGCAATAATAATTTTGGTTATTTCGGAAATTCATTTTGACCGATTCTTTTAGCATGTTATCAAATTATTTACTAACCAACTGTCAAAACCTTTTTTTCCTCCAGCACAAACTTGAGAATCAACAATTTGACGATTTTCACTGCTATAAACTCTTTGACAATCATCGTTCGATACTCCATCAACATTTACTTTCAATTTCAAATTTGAGGCTGAAACTTTTTCAGTTTTACCTAAAAATTTTAAGCGTTTCAATTTTTAACAATAGAAATTAACTTGCTTCTTAAGGGAAACTAATTTTACCCCATCCAGCAACACTTAATGTTTGTTTTACAAAATCTTTGTTCCGAATACTTGAATCAACAGGCAAGCAGATTGGTCTCACGTAAATAGAGAAAGGAACGTTTTGAATTAATCTTAGAAGGGCAATATCATTGTGTTGATTTGAAGCAAAAGGATCGTAATTTGGATGTGGAAGTTTTTCTTCGATAGCAACGTCAACTGGTGGATCGTTGCAAACTCTTTCATTTACAAAAGATTCGTCACAATCAATTTCTGTTGATGTATCCCATTCACCTAAACGAACCCCAGTCAATGACCATGTCGATGGCAAATCTTTACCATTCACGCAATGTGATGCTTAATCGAAGAAAAAAAAACAACGATGATTCATTTTATGAGAACTGACTATAGAAAATGTTGTCAAACCTGTTAGAACATAGCGGCTTGTTACCAAAACACCACCACAATGGAATCCTCTCCTATTGTTTGCTTTAAAACGGAATGTTGTAAGGATTTTAATCTAAATTATTATCATCTCAACTTGCATTCACTTACGTTTAGAATATTCCAACAAAGCCATCCATGGATACTCGTCGACATTTGTTTGATTACCTCCGTAAATACGATTTTCAGCGTCTATTCCACATTCTCCCGGTAATGGAAGAGGGCTTAGTTTCTGTGTCGGTGCAGTTGGCGGTGGTGGGGGTGGAAGTGTCGTGGATTCTGGGAAGTTACGACAACAAACCAACGGCTGCCCATCACGGTAGCCACATTGGCTCAAACTCAAAAATAAACGATCCTGATTAGATGGCGGCCTTCTATTATAAATTTCCAATAACGATGGACATGACTTGAAGTAAACACAATCACCACGATATTGATCTGGCGTGTAGCATTTTCCAAATATTTCTATAAATCATCATAAATCCAATTTTTTTATTTGTCCAAATCGTATCAAACTTTAGACTTTAGGAGTCAAAAGTGTATCACTCGATGTAAATTTGTTAATGTTTTTATAAGCATAAAATATTAATAATGTGATAGATACAAACGAAAAAGCCTTACGTGCACTCGCTTGACTTAAGAAGCCATTGAGTAATATTAATGTCAATATTTTCATTAAAGGGTTTCAAGATTCCAATTCTCTATTAAAAAAACTTCGATGTTTCTATGGTGTAGTCAGTTGATAAACTAAAAAGTCAAGTTTACAATGCAGAAAATCTTGTTTTAAATGAAAAAAAAGAAGAAGAGTCTAAGCAAACACATTCTCAATGGTGATTCTCAAATATAATAAGTTGACTATATTCAAAGTCGCTGAAATAATAGATTGAAGTGTATTTTTTTTAGTTTTCATAACTAATATAAAAATAAATGATTTTATAATATTTTTATTGCTATCAATTTCATTACCATTCTCAAGGTTACCAAATTTTCCCTTTTCTTTTTAAAGATTAAAATCTTTTTTTTTTTTTATTTTCTTTTTAATTATAGAAGTGGATGTTTAAAATTGATTGAAATGTAAATTGTTTTTTCTTTTTAAATGACAAAGATTTATGTTAAACATACTTAGATGCAAAGACAATTTTCATGTTATACAGACTGTATCTGTATATGTACAATGAGTGCCTTTCAATACATTCATATTCAATCTACGTACATTGACGAGTTGATTTTTTTATAAGTTACATAATTCACATAGCCTTTCAGAAGTGCAAATATCACTAAAACTGTAAGTGCGATATGAACTCATACTTACCTGGCGTAGGGGTTTACAATGATCAGGAAGGTTGTTCCCCCAGTCTGAGGACTGCCCATTGCACTTCGGGTGGTTTGACGGCTGCGATTATTCAGCATATGAATAACTCGTTCGCGCAATTTTTGGTAGCAGGGGCTTGCGTTCGCGCTTGCCCCTAATAAATAACACATAAAAATATTAAAAGAAAAATCTTTTGAAGACTCAAAATTTTAGTTTCACACATTTTATTTGATTAAATAGAAAATTTCAACGAGGCTTGGAACATTGATTTTTTTTAATTTAATATTGTTTTCTTTTTCGCTTTTGATAATTATATCTGCTATTGTTTGTTGTTGGATTATCTTTATTGTACTGATATTTCTTGATAAGTGGCTCAGATGGTTGAATATTTTTGTTCAAATTAATTTCGAAATCGTTTGATGAGTTCTGAAGATTTTTAAGTTGCTCTTCTATTAATTGAATTTTACTTTTCTTGTCAGCTTGTGAGAAATTAGAAACGCTTCCTGCTGCAAGTGCTGGAATTTTTACATGCTTCGAAGATTTTCCATCATCAACTGCATCCACATGCTTTGCATAGCGTATTGCTATATGTTTTCCTCCAATTTTTTTGTTATTTAGATTAGTTAAAACATTGATCGAGTCTTCAGCCTACATATTAATTATTAAAATAATTAATTNTTTTTAATTATAGAAGTGGATGTTTAAAATTGATTGAAATGTAAATTGTTTTTTCTTTTTAAATGACAAAGATTTATGTTAAACATACTTAGATGCAAAGACAATTTTCATGTTATACAGACTGTATCTGTATATGTACAATGAGTGCCTTTCAATACATTCATATTCAATCTACGTACATTGACGAGTTGATTTTTTTTATAAGTTACATAATTCACATAGCCTTTCAGAAGTGCAAATATCACTAAAACTGTAAGTGCGATATGAACTCATACTTACCTGGCGTAGGGGTTTACAATGATCAGGAAGGTTGTTCCCCCAGTCTGAGGACTGCCCATTGCACTTCGGGTGGTTTGACGGCTGCGATTATTCAGCATATGAATAACTCGTTCGCGCAATTTTTGGTAGCAGGGGCTTGCGTTCGCGCTTGCCCCTAATAAATAACACATAAAAATATTAAAAGAAAAATCTTTTGAAGACTCAAAATTTTAGTTTCACACATTTTATTTGTTTAAATA